ATTAGGGACAGTACAGCAGGGAAACAAGCAGAAACCCTAAACTTATTAGGTCATTTCAGAGAGTCCGCTACTTGAGGTCTTCCTAAAAGCCTGTCTGAAAGAGGCAGTGTAAAGAAGCATGTTCAGTTCTTTAAGGGGGAAATAATTGTTTTTTACATAAGAACAAGCTCTAGAAGTTGCCTAAAGCATCTTTACTATTACTTTATTTTTCTACTTTCTAATTCATGCCATTTTCTGGGTGGCTTTCTGTCCTTTTCTCTGCGTAGTATTTTGGTTGACTTTCTTCAGTTTTCCCCAGGCAGTCCTTCAATCTTCAATTTAGTCTTTTTGGTCTCAGAATGCAGTCCAATCTTTAAGGATTTTAGTGTTAGGATAAACCCTTTAATGACAGCATATTCTTAGTAACAGCTTTGTTTTTACTTTTTTTGACTGAGTTGATATTTATTGAAAATTGTTTTAAAAAACATTGTATTTGTTGCAATGAGGTTGTTTTTGTGAGCTTTTAAGTTTTAAGACATAAAGGGAGGAAGATCAGTGAATAAGTAAGGTCTGTTTAATTCTATGTCTATTACAGATTTTTACCTTTTGCCAAGGTTTTCCTACGTGCAGCACTATGAACTTAGTTAACAACAGTATTCGTGTGCCGAAGTGAAATATGCTTGTATTGTTAAAGTGAAATGGTATAGCTATGGTTTTGACAGGGAGATGGATGGACCATTTGAGTGGTAAAACATTTTTTTAATATTGAGAAACCATCTTGTCTACAAGCAATGAAGCAATTTGTAGTAACAAATGGAAAATATTTTTTCTGACTAGGGATTACGCCATTTATTTTCATTTTTTATGACATGTTTTGCTCAATGCGCTGCAGGAAGCAAATCCGAAGCTTTATAAAGAACAGCTCGCGATGGCAAAACAGGGAATTCAGTTCAGGGTTTGCTGTCATAACAACAAAGAACGTTCAACCCAGGAGAGCACTGGAAAGTTATGTTGAGTTTCATGTTTGGGGAGGAGCATGGGAGGATAGAGGAGCATGCTACTCACCCCACCCACGTTAGTGGTAATTACTTTATCATTTGTATTGTTTCTGAGGATTGTACTTTGGTACCTTCTTAATACTGTAGAATCCTTTTTCTGTTTCTGAAAGTAATAGATGTAAGCATTAAATGAAGATGAAAAACGGGACTTCATGCGGAGCTCAAGACTAGTGCTTAAGCACTGTATGTGTGACATTTGTTGTTGAGGGGGAAGGGGGACGGGGACGTGGATGGTTAGTTTTTTGTTTCAGGACAATGCAGACGTATAAAAAGAAAGGGCTGGTTGATAGTCTCACATGGTTCCACTTTTGAATGTTTTCCATCATTCCTTTTGTTTCAGTTGGATGACAGAGAGTGATAACTGGAAGACTGTTTACTGTTAATGAATGATGATAAATAAGATGATGTTTGAGAGATGCATGTAAAGTGTTTATCTACCCTGAATGGGGTAGATATTTTAAGATGTACAGAATTGCCTGTATCTTCTTAGCCTTGCAAGCACATTATAAAATAAAGGGAAATGGAATAGGAAAATGCTGAAGATTGTTTTCAACACAGAATTGTTTCAAAATTGAAAATTTGGTTTTCCGTTCTTGGGGCAAGGTATTTTGTTAAATGAATAGCTGTGTGAATATTTCAATTTTCCCCACACTTTACATATATAGTCTGATATCAGTTCTTGAGAGCCAATTTTAGCTTTTTTTTAAATCAGAAATTCCTCTTTGCTGAGCAAGCTTCTACGATTAAGAATTATCTTTACCATATTTTTTCATCCTTTTATTTGCAGCTCAGCAACATAAATATATATGTTATTTTATACACATTGTATTTTTTGGTGTTCAGTTATACTCCTTCTGAAGAACAGATCACAATAGTCTCTGCTCCCTGGCCCATCTTATGTAGTTAACCTGTTAAAGATTTGGTATCTCTCTTTTTTCTTTTTTTTTTTAATGCAACAACAAACCCTATAATGCTGGCATTAGTAGGTAATGCATAGAATTACTAATTTATTGCCTGTCAAGAAGGGAAGCATAGACCTGCCAAACACACAGCCCACTTTGCAGTAGTGCCACATGATTTTGGAAAATCAAACTCACCTGTGCTGCTAGCACTGGTTAATAGTGGTGGAAAAAATATTATCTTTTACAAATTTGACGTTTCATAATAGTACAGTTACCTTGATTTTAAGGTGTGGATGACCTTTGTATTAAGACTAATGTGGGTCTGATACCCTATTTCATTCCCTTAGGCATTTTGAGATAGTCTCTTCTAGGGCTGGGTCTCAGCAAACTTCACAGACTCCTGTTAGAATTGCTCATATGACGATTTCGTTAAATTTCCTTTCTAAATTGACCGTTATGTGGTCAACCTATTACCTTTTCCTGCAAAAAAAATCCCTAGTTTGGAAAAATACTTCAGAGAATCGTGTTAGATATGCCCTTGCTTATATAGATGGAGCTCTTCCAGTTCTCTGAGTTCAAAAATAAGTCAAATTATCATTGCACTGGGTGCTTCATAGCCTGTTGCAGACTTAACTTAAAATGAGCTGTTGTCTGTTACAATTTTGCGTCAGCTCGCTGTGATGTACCAGCATAAGCACGCTATTGGCCATCTCCTACGTTGTTGTTTAGAGACAAAGACTAAAAGTCTTTCTCCCTAAAGCCCTGAGTGTTCTGCTAAAGTACGTAACTTTATCAAGGTCACTGAACCCTATGTAATGTGCTTTCTGGGAAGATGACAGGGTACAAAAGATTGTTTTGTACCCTTCTGTCAGAAGGATGTAGAAGTAATACAAGAGCTCAGTTATTTGTGTGCTAAAGGGGCAATGGTGATCTAGTGATATGACAGATTTGCTAATGATACCTGACAGAAGTATTGCAAACAAATAATTGTAAAGAACTCCTCTATAATGCAGTATTTCTAAAAAAGAAAATATTTTCTTCTTATAAGATCAAGAATGTAGACTCCAATGTGACAAAAGACTGAATTCAGGTGCCTAATTGATAGATGTAAAATTGAATAGAAAGTATTACCGTTATGTCATGCATGTTTTGAAGCAATGTTCTATCTGAGCGGACATTTAATTTGGTAATAGATTTTGTATTTTAACTATTTATTCATTTCAGAACACTTCAGGAATATTGTCACTGTCTATCTTGGAGGATACTGAGATAGGTTGTTGCGCATAAATTCACTTTTTATTGCTCTGTTCTCCCTATTAAGCTATAGTTGTCTCTACAAAACGTGGCTGTAATTGTCTCTTTTCCTATAGAAAAAAGAGTTAGCTTAATTCTAAACGTAGTTAATGATTCGGCTTGTTTTATTGCAAGAGTATGACTATGTGGATACAAAAAGATCTGTATTTTCAAAATATCGACATAATATCCTTTTATATAAGAGGAGTAGATTTTACTTTGTTTTCTTGCCTGCAGATAGTTTAATGCATGCATGTTTTTCTACCAGTGGTAACTCTCAGTATTTAGTCTTCCAGTTGGTGTGTAGTTTTTACTTGTGTGATATGAGGAAAGCTTTGTAAATAGTATTTTAGTTTCTGCAAGCCTGAAACATGAACTATACCTTTGCTTTTCTGAAGGATCTCCATCAGTTTTTAGGTAGTTTACAATAGATTAACTGTTTCCATAGGAAATACTTTACAAGGCACAGATCATGGAGTATTGTTATAATATTACTATTTTTTTACTGTTCAGTTATGGGCATTTAACAACTAAAACCACAGATATGAGGTACGCAAATGGCTGTGAAATTTCCAGTGCATGCATATGTGAGTGCTGGAAAAGAGAATAGTCATAAACATTTAGATGTTTGAAGTTACAGATTGATTGTCTTTACAGTAGTTCAGCGTAGAACTACTCTACTCGGTTGTACGGTCTGTTCTCTTACTGGAAGATGGGACCTGCCTGCTGATTTTTCTTTTCATAGTCAGAATAAGTATATTAGCGGTACATTTTCATATATTTCCTTTGAAAAAGATTCAATAAAAATCTTGTGAAATGTTCACTTAAGGTACATCAAGAATGCAGCACTCGCATTTTAATGCTTTGCAGAATGGTGTTCTACAAAAACGGAATAGTGGGTATGTAGTTTGTACACTTATATAAACATGGTATATCTTAGTACAGAACCCTGTTGACAGGCAATAGTTTATCTCCTACTGTAGAAAAAAAAAAAAAAAAACTAAGCCCATTGAACAAGAAAAATTTACAGATCCATATTCGGACTTGTAAATTGTAGTTAAATATTATATATCCAGTTTCTCCCTGCATGAGCAAGTTGAATATTTTAGTAATTAGGATCACAAATCTGAAGTTAGGTTAAAGCTTGCATAACAACACTCGAGGGGGAAAAAGCATCTGAACAGAATTTGAAACAAAAGGTCTGGATTTAAGATCATAGTTAAGCAAAAAGTGCCTCTTTTTTTTTTTAATGGTGAATACATAAATGAATGACCGTATTTATAGTCAAGATATCGAAATTTTAGACATTTTCTTTGCAGCTATGAAGTAGTTATAAAACCAATAAGATAATATTATACTCTGTAACACGATTTAGCTTTGCTGCCTGTGTTTGCTTACTAGACCGTGCACTGTGTTATCGTTCAGTCTTCTTCTGTTATACTGATTTTGTCCTATATCATCAATTTCCACAAAGAGAGTTGAGACCTGTTAATACTCTGTAACTAGAAAGCTCTTTGTTTAGTAACTCCATCTATTTTTTTCCTTACGGCAGGAAACTTGATCAACGTCAAAATGTTTTTCCTCAGCTTAAATAGATTTTAACATATAACTGTGAGGCTGTGAGGTGGTTAAAAATACTTTTGCCTCCATATTGCTATTTTTGAAGTATTAAAATTTTATCATTAGAAAGAATGAATCTTTTTGCCACAGGAATTCCACCTGCACAGCTTTTGTTTTATTTGCTTGCTTGCTTGTTTGTTTGTTTTAGGAAAAGTCATCAACAAAGATTTGCGTCACTACTTGAGCCTTCAGTTCCAGAAAGGCTCAATAGACCATAAACTACAGCAAGTGATCAGAGACAATCTCTATTTGAGAACCATCCCGTGTAAGTATATAAAGGTCAGCCTCATTTGGTCTGTATGTGCTAAACGTCACATAATTCAAGAGCTTTAAATTCTTTCTCTCTTAGTCTGGTTTATATTTTTACCTTTTCACAGTAGAAGTTTCTGTAAACGGCTTTGTCAGAACAGTCTCGTATCTTAAGTTGCAATGGAAAGTTACTACCAATATGGTCTGACAAAACAGCAAAAGCTTCAGAATTCAAAGCTCAGAGTATTTCAGTACCTTCACAATATCAGTTTTTAACTCATTGGAAGTTTGTAATTTATTATTGACGTTAGAATAACCATAGTCACCATGGGAAATACATCTTCCTCAGCATGATTAAGCAGAGTGAACACATCATGATTTTGGTCAATGTATTGTTTTTTGCACAAAGAGGAGATTAAGATCCCTCAGGCTGTCACATAGAGCTAGACAGAGCAGCGCAGCTGGAAGGGGGAGGCGCAGGAGGGATTATATACAAAAAAGGAGACCCAACTGCTGCAATGACACAAGATACAGGGGAACTGTTGCTGATTAATCCTGAAAAAAGTAGGAGTTGGCAGTGGCAAGAGGGAGACTGAATCTGTGGCCCAGGAAGAGGAGGAAGAAGCAGGGTATGGACAAATGTAAGTGTCATAACAGGAATTAGAGATTCTGGATGGACCTATCTCATCTGTTATGCCAGCCCTTCTACACTGAGCATCTGTCAGCATCTCTCAGTTCAGCCAAGGCGGGTGTTAACTAGGTACCTGAAGGTACCACTTCTGAGAATGAAAAGTCATTTTGTCAGTCTTTTTTTTTTTTTTTTTTTTTTTTAAGTTGCTCATCACTGATTAGCTTCAAAGGCTCTTATAAAGAGGTTTGAAACCTTTCACTCTGAGTGCCTATCAGTATCAGACTGTTAATGATTTTAGACTTTTCTCACTCTAAAACTGTTCATTGGAGCAAGTGTGCTTAAGATCATTCTTCTATTTAATTACCAGACCTCCTTAAAGCATTCCGTGTGCCTTCTATGCGAGAAAATTTACCATTTACTTTACAGATAGGCTGAGGGGAAACTTCCAGTGAAGAGAATAAACTTCTGGTGATGGTGAATCCCGTGTGTGGTTTGTAGATGGCACTTACTAAATGATTGACCTAGGACAATTCTGAGCATGAAGTCTAAAGTACACCCATCTTTTTTTTAAAATTGAATATGGAATTAGATGGAATTTTCCCTTGTTATATGTATATAGTATAAAGGGTTTTGCTTACTCTACTGGGAGGTTGGGCCGTTCTGGTGGAGTAATTATAGCTTCTAAAAGCATCTCAAACTGTTTGCATAGATAAAAAAACATTTCTTTCAGTTTACAGAAAGCCCCTTTCAAGGACAATGACAGCTACCAAACATCCTGTCTGTGCTTTTTGCCCTTCTGCCCCATTTATTTTCTGAATTATCATAAAATCATCCTTTACTTTGTCTTGCAAGTTTACTGATTAAAAAGACTCATTACCTATTGTGTTTACATATTCATTGAATAACAAATTTAGAACAGCTTGTCAGCTAACATTTTTATAACTACAGAAATTCCACTCTCAATTTAGCAACATTATAATATTGAGCATGCCCAGGAGTTTGTGACTTTCTTAAAAAATAATAATATTGAAATGCAGTTTGCTTACTAACAGCTCTTCTTTTTCAGGCTACTCCCTAAAAAAACTGACACGTACCTTTAAAATGCTATTAGGTTATAATCAGTGCTAAAGTCCTTTCTAGGAGAGCTTTAATTAAGCTGTTACAACTATGGGAGACCCTAATTCATAGACTTAAACTCTTGGAGAACTTCTACATTGACGCAGCGGTTTACTAGTTGCTTTGAAGTTTTGTTTTATGACAGCCAGTGGCTTTTTTCCTTCAGAAAAAAGCTTACCTATAACCAGGGTTTGAAGTATAGATGAATTGCACTCTAAACTGTGAGGTTAAGAATGGTTTCTGTGCCTAGTTATGGATTTGGTGACTCAAAAATCAAATGTTTGTAGTCACGCTGACTTCCTTGCAAATTACTGAATTGGTATGGGTGCTCAAGAAATGGCAAAAGATAAAGCACCCACACAACTGTGTTAAAATACGGTAGCTGTTAAACAGTTCCCCAAAATCACGAACTAGCATTGCCTAGTCCAGGTCACCACCAGCTTCCACTGAATTAGTATTTGGTTCACAAAGTAGATGAAAAAAATCTCTCTTATTACCACTTCATCCTGCTTTTCTTTCTCCTCCTCCCTTGATACTGTAACTGTCATTCCTACATAATTTATTGCCCTAGTTTTTATACATTACTGTTTGCTTGCTTGCAAGTATTCTCTTATCTTCCTGGATAGATACCATCGTTGCATAAAGCTTCAAACATCTACTCTTTTTACTGAATTTTACAGGCAGCATTTGATAAACAGGCAGCATTTAAGTATTGACAGTGTGTTTTTTCTCTGTCTTTTCAGGCACTACGAGGGCTCCCAGAGATGGGGAGGTCCCTGGAGTAGACTATAACTTCATTCCTGTTGAGCAGTTCAAAGCACTGGAAGAAAGTGGAGCCTTGCTAGAAAGTGGGACATACGATGGTATGTTGATCATGTTTATAAGAATGAGAATACATCTAGGACTCATGTCTAATACCTTTGCCTAAGTGTAGCTCTGTGAATCCAGGAGGTGCCACGTTTCCTGTCCATTGATGGTTATTACAGGAGTAGAGAAGCAATGTTATGTCTGTGTTGTAGTTGGAGTATCTGTGAAGAGAAGTAGCAGTCTTGTTTTTAAGCTTTATTTGGGCTCTTTATCACTTCTGCCACTAAATCATGAGCAGTTCTGCCAACCGGTCTTACCCTGGGTTTTTGCTTTGTTTTGTTTTGTTTTAAAGGGTTAGATAACTCACATCCCTGAAGCAAAACCCCAAACCCACCTTTTTTAAAATGGGAGAGAGGAGAGACAAGTTTGATTGAACTCTCAGATGTCTTGCACTACTGTAGAGCATACTGTGGTTGCAAATATGTTTCAAATAACAGTTGCTTGTTTTCTGTTGTCTTTTACTATTATACAACTTACCTTTTGAATAGAACTCATTGCAGATTTCTCATGTTACTTTTTGTGTGTAAGGTTATAAAATCTGAAATATGATTTAGCTAGCTATTTTTTTAAATATGTAGTTGACTGGAGATCAACTAAATTACAGCCATATTTTCAGAAATGCTGAGCATATGCAGCTTTTGTTGATGTTAAACTGAAGTCATTTACCGGATTATGATCCAGCATGATTTCGAAATATATTACAAACAAAAAACATACATATCCTGGACTTCTTTCTTAGGTGTTGGTTTTATCTGGCATGTGAATGAAATTAGTTCACAAAAAAGAAAAAAACCAAAATTTTTAAAATGGGTAGAACCCACAGTAAAAATTTTGTGAAAGGCTCTGTACTACTTTATGTGTCTCATACAGTCTGCAGAATCACCCTGTCTCTGGAAATCTCCTAAGCAAATTTAGAGTAAACTAGCACTTCTTTTTTCTTAGCTCCCTTTTATCTGGATTTTATCACTTTGAGCCTGGCCTTCAGTGATATTTTCAGAAGGGTTTTTTTATTATTTTTATGGTCAAAACAAAGTCTAGCCACCAAACATTAACTAAGCAGGAATTTTGGGAAGCTCTGTTGCTCCATAGTGAACTCCCTAATAAAAATCACATGAGCAGTCAGAGAATTCATTTGCCCAAATTCTTTTCCAGAGAACAACAGATGATTCCTAACCTTTGTGGTTTAGATTAAAATATTGAAGTAAAAATCTGTTCATTTTTCTCAGGTATAAATCATTTTGAGACCAAGTGATATGAGCAGCTCGCTTTGGCAAGTGTGTTGCCAGCTGACAATGTGGGACTATAGTTTTTAAATCAATTATTTCTAGTTGTGTTTATGTAAATAGATATTTTATGTCTCTGCACAAAATCAATTTGCTTTTTGACTTTAGTGTGTTTCTATTGCTGCATGTTATTCCAGATAATCAGTACATGTTGTACAATACAATAGGAGCAGGTGATTTTCACTGTTTTACTTCTCTCGAACTGTTCTCTAAGTTCGTTTCTGGTGCATTAGTAAATACAAGTCAAAAAACCAAATCAATCTTTTTCTCTGGAGACCTGTGGCAGGATAGAAATGTTGAATCAAGCCTGTTATTTTCTGATGTACAATAGCACTGTTAGAAAAAATATGCTGTAGGAATAGATAATTCTTGAGCATTGTTTTTTTTTTTTTATAGTACTAGTGTTGTCTTTAAAAAGTTAAATTACAGTTCAGGTGTTTCACCAATAAACATAGGCAACATTACATAGGCAATGAAATGTTCACAACAACTGCCAGCACTTTCAGCAGGTATATATGCTTTTAATTATCTTGATTTTTATTTCCTGGTCAGGTAATTTCTATGGTACTCCAAAGCCTCCAGCAGAGCCCAGTCCCTTTCAGCCCGATCCAGTGGATCAAGTTCTTTTTGACAATGATTTTGATACTGAATCACAGAGGAAAAGAACCACATCAGTCAGCAAAATGCAAAGGATGGACAGTTCTCTCCCTGAAGAAGAGGAAGAGGAGGAAAAGGAAGCAGTTAATGGCAGTGGAGGGATAGGTTGGTTGACAAGGGGAGAAATTCCCTGAAGTATTTTATGAATGAATAAAAAGTATACAGATAGCATTCGTGCTAGTTTGAACTGTACCCTTAATTTTGGTGAAGTTTGAAGATGATTTTCCATTCAGACAGGATTTTGAATGTGTTTTTACTCTATTTTGAAATGATGTTTAAAAAGAAACAGCTGTTCTCCCAGCCAGATGTGCAATTGCATCATAAAAGGCATTACTCAATAGAGAACATGGAGTGCTGGGTATCAGCCAGTTACATGAAGAGGAAGGAAAAAATTTTTCCACTCTGCAAGTAATGGAATCCCTTTGCAGAGTATAATTCATACCCTGTAAATGTTACCATTTAATTTTGATAAGATAACCTTCGTGTGTAGGAGATTTTAATGAAGCAATTGGTTTAAGGGAGAACACTAACTCTTACTGAAGAATTTTCAGATTATTTTGGTTAAATGAACTATCAGAAACCTGAAACTAACTGCAGTGGTGCATGCAGGGGTCTAACTGCAGGGAATTAAAAAATTGCACAGTGCACTGAGGCTGGACCAGTGTCCAGTAGGATGTTTTAAAGACTGGCATGATGCCCATTTCTTTTTGCTGTCGTTGTTACTCATCTCAAGGGAGGGAGAAGAACTGATAGTGAAGAGAAACAGTCACGTTACGTTTGCAGAAGATCCTATGTATGAGTGTTTAATAAAGACTTATATTGACCCGACTGGGCCTAATCTTGGGCTTCAGGACTGACACACCGTGGTGCAAGTTGCCCTCGTGGCCTGGCTGGTGGTTATGTTAATGTCACAGATATCATCATGTGATTGAGGATACTAAGCATATCCTCCAAACTAAAGGGCTAAGGTTTGCATTTAAAGTTTTCTGCAGTGGCTTTTTTTGAGCTTTTTTTTGGTTGTTGCTTGCAGAGAGGGGTGGTGGGGGTTGTTTATTCTTCTGGCAGTTTGGGTCTTTTCCACATTTTGATTCTGGTGCTTTGAGAAGTGCTAGTGGGATTTTTCCAATAGTATTACAAACACTGTTCTCTATGTAGGAAGTGCAATGAAGTACTCAATTTGGATTTCTGGCAGTGTTGATTTTGCAGCCCAGGTTCAGACAAATAATACAAAATTAATTCTGTTTGGCAAGGGCAAAACAGAGTTCAGTGTTCATGTTAGCTTTTAAAAGTTCATAGTTTAAAAACAAAAATAGAAAAATGCACATCAAATGAAGGGGTATGTTTGACTTCACTCATAGCCAGAATAAGAGGGTGGTTCTTAATGAGAAACAACACAAACATCTGACAAATAGTAACACTTTCCCTGAACAACTGCAGAAAACAAAGAAAAACATTCAGATTCTTCTGACTGGATGAAACCTGTTCCCAGTTACAACCAGACAAGCAGCTCCATGGATTTCAGAAATTATTTGTCAAGGGACGAAACGCTGGAACCTCTACCCAAGAACTGGGAGATGGCCTACACAGACACTGGCATGATCTACTTCATAGAGTGAGTAGACTGACATCTCTTGAAGAGTTAATGCACCTTTCTGAAAGTAACAAGTCCAGAGAATCTGCAGTCTAAGATGATGTCTGCTGTTGTTATGCTCCATTTTATCTGTCTGCTGTTGTTATGCTCCATTTTATCTGTTCTTATTTTGATATGTTGATGACATTTCATGTATTCCGGCTGTTTTGTTCTTTGCTGAAAATCATTTATTCTATGTACCTGATTTAATTTCCATAGAGCAGCAATTTTACTAGTATGTCTCCAAGAAGATAAATAATTTCAGGGGTAAGACAGGTTTCAAACCTCTTCACTGTGTTTTCATCTAAGCAGCTCTTACTATTCTTTATTGATGGTTCTTAGTTACTGTACGGGAGGATTTCAATATTATATTTTCTTGTGTGCTGAATGTCATCTGTATAATCCATGTAAATACAGTGAATAATATATTTTTGGATAGTTTTCTATGAATCTGTGATGCAGGAAAGCACTATGATTCTATGTGCAAAGTCAGTTTATTTCGAAGGTGTTATTTCACAAAATACACAGCTGGGTGGATATTGCTTGGTAAGGTATAGCATCATATAAGCTTTTATTGTGTGAAATTTCTCTGAGATATGAGAACTTGCTTATTCTTTCTTCTCTACATGTGTTCTTTGACTTGGAATGCATGCTTAAAAATATACATACCACAGTTTAAAGCCCAAGATAGGAAAGCAGTTCATATGTGCAAACGTGAAATAGCCTCTTTTAGGAATTGTAAGGCAAAAAAAAAAATCCTACTGAGAGTTAAGCATAAGTAGAAGCTCAAAATTTTTTTCCTTTCAGGTAGAAACAGCTGATGTTCCCTCAAATGGTTTTGAGGGCAGAGGAGAGTGTTTGTACCTCTCACATTTCTTTTCATATCTGTGCTAGAGAGTCTCCAGTGTGCTGATACTTTTGAGCATCATGGTTGCCTTTTTAGCGTTTTGTTATGTGACTGAGGTGCAAATAGAGGTTAAATTATCTAAAGGCTACAGTTTGCCCGTGGTAGGAAATATTTAGAAGGTAAAGTACAATAAAGTTTCTTCAGTCAGAGGAAATTCTCTTCTTTTAATGGCCTATGTTTTGCTCCACAGTCATAACACCAAGACAACCACGTGGCTTGATCCTCGGCTCTGTAAGAAAGCCAAAGCTCCTGAAGATTGTGAAGATGGAGGTGAGATGTTCAGAATTCACTTGTCACCCACCCATGACTGATAAGTGTCTGAGCTCATCACAGTTGGATAAGATGCATTAGTGGTGAATGGGAGCTTCTTCCTGATACGCATGACTCTCTGGAGTGAACAGAGTATAGTGTTGAGTGTCCATGGTTTGGTGGTAATGAGAGGTTATCAAAGACTGGAAAGAGCCATAGAGTATTTTACCTGGAGTGGAGGAATTGGACTGAATTGTGGATATATCTACATTCCAGAGAAGAAAATGACATATTTTGTTCTAATCAAATGTCATTGCTAAGGAGAGAGCTGGATATATTAGTGAAGATCTCACTGGAACTTGTTGTGCAGGTGGGATACAGCAGTAGGGAAGAGTCCATAAGTACTGGAATTTAAAAATAATGAAAGAAGATACGGCACAGTATACATGATAATACATAATGCATGTGACATAATAAGTGATTATGTAAATAAAGGGAAAAATCTGATTCCCTTCAAATCTTCATCCCCTTACGTACAGGTCACGTTCATAATCAGAATGTTCATGGTTGGCCTACAGGCAATTCCCACATAGTCACGCAATTTAGTCAGCTAAAAAATAGTAACAAATAGCTCCATCTCCTGCAAACATCTGACACGTTACAAAAGCTGAGGCAAACTCAGAATGGCCTATCATCTTTCTAAACTGCATAGCCTAACAATCATGTATTCATAATGAAGCCAGCTGGAGCAACTGCCTTGTACTGCTGCTTATTAAACATATGTAGAGCTCACCACGGGATAAAAAGAGTACTTTAAACAGAGAGATGCAGGATATCCAAATGAACAGTACTTAAATGAATAGTCCCCCTGGGTCTCTTGTCAAATTATGTGGGGTGATGTTGGTATTAATAATTGGTGACATGCTGTTATATGCTGGGAAAATTGCTCTTACCCTCAAACTTAGAGCAGCCTTAAACAAGATTATGTAGAAATTTTATCCTTCAAAATGTCTAGCTAGCTAACTGTATCCATTATTCTAATATTTAAATTTCCGTGGTCAAGGTAACTAGAACAGTAAAGCTAGAATAATCGGCCCTCTGGGTTAACTGCTTATCACCTGCAGTCAATAATGATCTGCTTCTGGGCATCATCAAACTAGAACGTGAATTTGTCACAAAAAGAAGCTTTCTGAAATCTGCAATCAGTTTAAATGTTGCAGGGGGAGGGGGATTGTAGCATTTAGTTTTATTTCACATGTAACTTTTTTTTAATCTTAGACCCCTAATTTAGGATGTCTTAAAGATCTGAGTACTGGTCACTATAAGCTAACTTGCTCTGGGCTGAGAGAACAGTCAAACTATAGCTGCACAGAACCACATTTAGTCTTCTCAGCAGGATGTGCTAGTGCTGAATTTGATGCTGCCAGAGCTAAACGCATGCTAGCTAGTTTTGGAATGTCTGCACTATATTGTAAACATCAGAATAATCACATTAAAATAGCCTACTGTGATGGGGGCTGTCATCTTATTCATCACTTATGCTTGTCATACTTCTGACTGAAGCCTTTTTGAGTTGACTGAAAACTGAAACGTTATCAGAATGCGGTGAAATATGCTGGTGTTTTTGAGAGAATGAATAAAGGTGGCATTACCCCTGCCAGGTGGTCTTGAATTCAAAGTAAAAGAGGAATGGAGACACATGATGTTTCAAGTTTGGGATTTGATGTAGTGAGGTATTTATAGCTCTCTTTTTGTGATGTATTTGGGGACACAGGCAGTGTGATTGTATTCATGCCATGTAGTTAAAAGAATCAACATCTATCAAACCAAACTGATGATTGATAGGTAGATTAGTTTTAAATAATATATTTTTCTTCCCTCTTTATATGTTCTTCCTCTCTAAAGAGATTAGTTTGTGCCTTGTCTGTAATATGTCTGAAGTGATGTGATTTCGTTAAATGTAAGTCTCCTAATCTAGTAGAACAAAGAGCTAGAACTATAGGGCTCCAAATTCCTTGCAACAGGCTAACAGTCTTTTATTTAGAAGGACCAACCTCAAAGAAATAAAGGAAAGAAAAAAGATCTGCATTTTCTCCATTTTTTTCATGAGTCTGTAATCTCTCATTATTTCATAAGAACTCTGATATTTGCAGATAGTTTCCCACTGTAATGGAGAATTTTGTTCTCTCTGATTGCAGAACTTCCTTATGGATGGGAAAAAATAGAAGACCCTCAATATGGAACATATTATGTTGAGTAAGTGGTAACTGCTAACTTGAGCAGAAAATAATGAAGCAGTCCGTACGTATAGGTTGGAATGCAATATAAGTACTAAACATGCTCAGCAGAAATACTTCTAGAGACAGTGAATACATGGTGCCCAATTCTGAAGTAATACCCATGGCGTGACCCTACTGAGTTATTTGAGTGTATTTCTCTTATGGGGGAGGGGGAGAATATCAGTCACAGTAATTAGTTAATGCAAATAATTTCATTTTTCTCAGCTCTAATAAAAATGCGGTGGCTTGATTTAGGAGTGGCTCCTGTTAAATGTGAAAGAGCAAGAGTAACTTATATCTCCTTGCTGTCTCTAAAAAGCTATCACAAATAAATAACTACTAATCTGCTGCAGCAGCTTTTCTCAACCTTCTTCAAGTCAGGGTAAATGAAATCTGTCTTAAACCATGGAGAAGAAAATTAGCAAAGCTGAAAATGATAGCTTCAGAGAACAAGCTAGTAAACTTTGGCTTTGCAAAGCCAACACAGGCATTTAAATCCTGTCCAAACTTACTGATTTTTGGCTCTGCTATACTACTCTAGCACTTGGTAGGAAAAGATAAAGACTGATTTTATGAACATCATAGGTGGATGGAGGCCACACATAGTTGGCATCAAGAGAAAAAGCAGGTTTTCCTGCCCCCCCCCCTTTTTTTTTAATCTCCCTATTCGAGCCTTTTAAACATTTGCAGAGTGGAGTTAAGGTTTACCCTACCTAATAATTCAATTTATCCTGTCACTTCAAGGGCAGTTATAGAAATCAAGAATGAACAGCATAGGGGAGAGTGTCTTGGAAACTTTATATAAAATAACAAACCAGAACAAAACTGCATAGTTTCCTTCTAGGTCAGTATTTCAAGCAGAAATAAGTAATGTAAGCACTTGTAGGTGTGCTGCCAAGAATCTGGGTTCTGAAGCTTCTCATCTTAAGAATTTAATTTACAGCTCAAACAAGGGGAAGGCTGATCCAGTGCTCAGATTGCATATATTTATGTAGAGACTTTTACAGAACAGTTAATGTTCACATAGTCTTTTTCTGGTTGATTTTTTTTATAGAGGGAGTTGAGCTTGTATTTAACCCACCTAAGGACAAACAATCCTGTATGTTTCAAGAAGCTCTTGAACTTAGGCATTTGATGATAAATGGAATCTTTCAGTCATTGTACTGCCCTCTTAAAATTAAGTTAAATCATAAATGTTGCTTTAAAAAAATGCCAATTTCTTTTCTTTGCTTTATGAAACATTAAAGTTTCAGACCAACGTTCATTGTTACATTTAGACAGCTTCCAGAAAGTAAAATTGCATTGGCTTTTAAAGTAAATCAAGTTGATGATAGAAAAGGAAAAAAAAAAAAAAAGGCTTTAAATGTTGATTGTGATACTTCAGTGCTCATTTCTCCAGAGCATCAATCAGAGGTAAAGAGAAACAGTATTGTACATGTGTTTTTTGTGGTTGTCTTTCTTATGAAATAGCCAGAATGCTTTCTTATGAAATTCTGTTCTCTCTTTTATGTTTACAGTCATATTAACCAGAAAACTCAGTTTGAAAACCCAGTGTTGGAAGCCAAAAGAAAAAAACAGTTAGGACAGACTGATGTTGGCACTTCAAAATCAGGTATCACTTAATATTTTGTTCTTTGTTACCGATATCTGTAGGTAAACAATGAAAAATAGCTTGGAAATTGAAGGGTTTGGTGACTATCAGTTCAAATAAGTCTGGCTTTTTTTGCTAGTAGTTCTAAATATTCTAGTTAGTGTTTGTCCTGATGCTTAAAATGATGGTTTTGTTTTGTTTTGCTTAAAGCAATATGTATAATAACTGCAGAAGTTAAGTTGGAAAAATCCACTTAATCATTTTCATATTTGGAGAATTTTTAGTACATAATTCTGCAGCCTAAAGTCATAATATATATTTTTTCAGAATAGGTGGCTCACTGTGTCGTAATCATTTCATCAGCTTTTATTTCTCGGTGTTATCGATAAAACACTTGCATATCATCAGCATTTTTTGATCACATCTCGGATAACGTCTGCTTATACTATAGGTTAAATATGCAGCATTCTCTGTGTGAAATTGTACATAGTAATTATCTGAATTTAGAATTCATCAAGACTGTAGCCTTATCTTTCTGCTGGCCATTGTGTGTTGCCCTCCAAAATCTGTATGGTGTTTGGGTTTATTTTTTGATGTTAAAATTGAACTGAGAACCTAAGACTGATTTAAAAGCATTTTGATCTTTCTAAAGCTGGCTGTCATAAGCAGCTTTTGAAAATGTGAAGGTTGCAAGAGCTAGTTGGAAGAAGCAGGTAAAGCTACACCTTAAATTTTATTTGCTTTTCACCTACTTTGAATTTGGTATTCAAAGGTTAGAGCGTGAAACTGGAGATTATAGGTGGGAGCTTTAATTCCATCTCTGTTGTAATCTGACTGTTGTCTTGAAAAATCATATAATTTTCCACTCACTCAGCTCAACTGTGAAATAAGGGCAGCAATATCTTGTCTGCTTTATTCCATAACAGTGCTGCAGAGGTTAACTAATGTGTGTCTTTTGAGCATGTAAAATATCATGAAATTACTTTTCCTGCATGTTTAGTAGACATCCAGGCATATACAGATGGCTGAGTTCAGACCTATGTTTTTAATAAGAATGCTGCATGCCTAACACCATCTTTAATTACTCCTTAGACATAAAAGGCAACTTCTTATTCAAAAGAAAGCATTAACCCTTATGATATCTTAAAAAAAAAAAAAACAACTTATCAAAACCCACCTTGGTTTTCTATCTTCAGGTCTTTTTATTCAATAATTTAGGAAACTCCTGAAGAGATTTTCTCCTCAGCCTTTAAAACATTGTTTTCCTTCTTTCTCTGATTATCAATACTACATGTCTGTAGTCAACATCCATTGGGGATTTAGTGCCCACCTCCTAGCAGCATTGTTGATGGTGGCTTATGTTGAATCTTACCATGCGCAGGACCAGAGAAGTCTCTGTTTACTAGAGATCCAGCCCAGCTGACTGGAGCCCTCATACAGACATCGCTAAAGAAAAGTACAATGGGATTTGGCTTTACAATCATTGGAGGGGACAGGCCTGATGAGTTTCTGCAGGTGAAGAATGTGTTAAAAGATGGACCTGCTGCACAAGACGGGAAAATTGCACCAGGTAAAGTAGTATTTCTCTCAACTTCCATTTCCTGTGGTGCTGTCAGACCTAAGAGCAATGCAGTTTTTGAAACACAGGAAGTTAGATGCCTTCATCCACTGACTTTGAATATGAAATACCTGACTAAGTGAAGCTGTTTCAGAGTTATGAAACATCTGAGAGAGCAATGTCTGAAAGTCAGTGTCTGAAATGGAAAACAATGTTCTAGATACAAATCTACTTTGAGGACACTTCTGAAGATTTCAGTAGTTCTGCTTCAGTGGAGACTTTTGGCTCGTGGAAAGGTTTGCAAGCTAAAACTACAGCCAAGTGAAAAATGCTTTGATTTATCATCTAGCTGTGTGCTTATGTATTTATAAATATGCTACAGCCCTTGTAAGTCTGTGTTGTTTTGTCCTGTATGAACAAGGAAAAGGGGTTTTTCTTAATAGAAAGAATTTGTCATCAGCTACCTAGCTTTCTGGGATACCTTCTAATTACAAAATATTTCATGCACATGCACCTGGAAGTTTGAGAACAGCCATGCAAATGAGTAATCCTGCCTTTCCTGGAAGAGTATTCCACAAGGAGATACAATTTTGCTTCAGGCTTCTGTGAGAGGAGATTAATAAATGACAATTAGATGAGAGAGCAGAGGATAAGGCCCTTCTGGGGGCCCCTCTGGGACCTTTGCATTGGAAAAAAGAAATATGTCTGGTATGTGAAGAGGATGAGTGTGTCTCTTGAGACTAATACCTTTTCTTGTTTCGCTTTGGGAGGTTGGTTTGGGTTTGGGGAAGGGGGGTTGCTCAATTTTCAGCTCCTGAGTGGGATAAGTCACAGCTTTTCCTCGTTCTCACAAGATATTATAATTTTAGATTCAGGTAGTAGGCTTATGTGATACTACATATTGTTTTGAGTATGTTAGATTCTCACGTATGAGGACTGTATAGAGCGCTTGAAATCTTGCTGTACCGACGTTGTCAGGTTTCGTTGTTTCCTTTAGTGTTGTAGGGGGAGAGGGGTGGTTGTTCTGGTTGCATACTATTGCAGTACCAAAGCTTTCAATAAGCCTTGCAACAGACCTTGCAAGAGGCATTCAGGTTAAAAGTGCTTTGAAGCTACAGCTTTTGTTTATTCATTAACACGTATTCATAATTGACTCTTTTTCCTTTTTTTTCAGGTCTTTTAAACGTTTTTGTGTAGTACATAAATATTTACTTGATTAATTCTAATAGAGGGAATGTCAGAACTTTAGAACTTGGTGTCATTTACTTAATAGTCTCTGTTCACTGTATATGTAAAGTAAAAATAGTACATTTGAAACCTTGTCTGTGTTTTCCTGGTTGCTGCCAAAAAAGCGCAATACCAAATGTCAAAACTGCAGTAAGAAAGAACAAGCAAAGCTATATGAATTAGGCAAGTGGGGAAGCAAGAGAGATGAGAGAAACTGTAATCCATGAATTAAAACACATTTTCACTGTTATAGGTTTAATTTAATTATTTATATGCTTGCTGTAACATATGGTTTACATACTAGAGAAGGCAAAATACTCGTTTGCATATCAGACATGCTCTCTTACTCTTCTGGTAAGAAAACAGTTTATGCTTTTGATGATTTAATACTATTTACTTACAAAATGAAACAATAATTGTGTTGGTCTATTGTTTGATCTTTTTTGTACGCAGTTCATCTTCCATCTGAATAGAAATGGACACAATACTGCACACTTTTATAGTGACATGCTCAAGTAAAAAGATGCATATCTATTCATGTTATAGTTAATGCTGTAGGAGAGTTACTGTTTTACTGATGTCCAGGGATTAAAGTGAAAAGGCACTTTGTTCCCTGGGAATATTGTAGTGCACATGTGTAAAGTTCCATCATCAAAACAATACACTTTATCATTATGAAATAAGGTTTCAGGATCTGATACCTACTTCCACTTCATACTGAAAATACATCTTTAACCATGTATAGCAACAGTATAAGAACGTGGAATGTGTGTGGGCCCTAGCTTAAATTCAGCCAGTCCTAACATAATTATAGGAACAAAAAAAAATCTGATTTATTCTGGATTGAGTTTAGAATGCTGTACAATATGAATTAAAGCATAAGACATCTGCTTGCAGTAGTGTGTATGCACTGTTTTATCTTCTGTATCTGTATAGTATCACTTACTAAATCTGCTGCAGATTAAACTATGTATTTAGCACACTGTGTTCTGAGATAGAATAAATACAAAGAGGGAATCCTTTAGGCTTTTTTGGCAACAGATAGCCAAGAGGTAATAGCACAACCACTGTTCGTTATTTTTAAAGCGTGTACAATGATTTTCTCCAGTTAGGCTTTTGTTCTGAGCCTCAGAACATTGCAAAGATGTGACTAGTTTAATTTGTGAGTTTGATGCTTTTGAATTTCCTTTTTCTAACAGGTGATGTCATTGTAGACATAAATGGCAATTGTGTCCTTGGCCATACTCATGCAGATGTTGTCCAGATGTTTCAACTAGTTCCTGTCAACCAGTATGTGAACATGACTTTGTGTCGTGGTTATCCTCTTCCTGATGACAATGAAGACCCTGTTGTAGATATAGTGACAGCTACACCTCTTATCAATGGACTACCTGTGACCAAAGGAGATGTTTGTGTGGCCAGCCAAGATTTAATACGAGGCACAGTTGTCTTGGACCAGAATGGAAAGCCGAGTCCTATGTTAGTCAACGGTCGTCTGAATGGCCCTTCCATGGATACAAATGAGCAGAGGGTCTCTGTTGCATCTTCAGGAGGCTCTCAGCCAGAGCTGGTCACCATTCCTCTAGTCAAAGGTCCTAAAGGCTTTGGGTTTGCCATTGCAGACAGTCCTACAGGACAGAAGGTGAAAATGATTTTAGACAGCCAGTGGTGCCAAGGCCTTCAGAAAGGAGATGTAATCAAAGAGATTTGCCATCAGAATGTACAGAACTTGACACATCTGCAGGTGGTAGAGGTGCTGAAGCAGTTTCCAGTAGGAACAGAGGTGCCACTGCTTATCTTTAGAGGAGGTACATATGTAAATTTTCATTTATCATATACAGGTACATGCTCTTTAGAAGTCCCTTTTCAGTGTGATACATTAATTCTGTCCAGTTTTTAAAGTTAAATAACAGTTTATTATGTCTCTAAGATGTCATACTCTAAGTTTAATTTACACCCCTGAGTATTTGGAGGGGAGCATGCAGCTTGTTTTGTTTTTACAAATATTTTATTATGAGGTGTTTATGCACTATCCCTTCCAAACATCTGGGGAACGTTAAAGCAAAAATGTAGTCTCTAGCGTAATGCAAACAGCATGATTGGGTGGGGTTTTCTGAGGCTTTGTAAATGTATTCCAGTAACCTCAACTGTAATGGTCAGGTGACTACAAATGACAGGAGGAAGCATCAGCAGTATGTTGGAACTGATCACTGGAAATTGCTAATAAAATTCTTATTTTCACATTTACATATTTATACTTCTGTATTGGCTGTCATTTACAGACTAGCCGTCCTCTCCCAATAGTCTGACTAGTAATTGAATGTGCATTTGCCAAGAAGGAACTGAATTATAAATCAGCACGTGACTGCTTAGTGTCCCTTTAAGCTTGTATTACAACCCTGAGTGTGTCATTTCAGTCAGATTTGCAAAAATCCCCAGATCTTTTTCTATATAAATGCTACTATTGTTTAATCAGCTAAGGAGTAAAATTAACCTTTGGTAATAAGTGAAGTTCCACCAGCCAAATTCACTATTCCATGAACTGATGTGTGATTCAATTGATTGGTGTCTAGTAACAGAGAAATAGATGTTTTTTCATGATTGTACAACTAGCGGTTCTAACTCGAGCTATCCTCTAAATGATATTTTTGGTCAACTGCATGTTCACTTTGCCTTTTAAAAGAATAGTGAATGAGCAGGAGTCAGTTTCAACCCAAGCGGAGCTAATTATACTGGCTTAGTGCTGTTGCGGTTATGATGATCTAGTATTTCAAATTTCATTCTCACATAAATATTTCCTTCTTTGTCCTCTAGGTCCACCCTCTCCTACTAAAACTGCCAAAGTGGTGAGTATTAATGATGTGTTTATGCCTATTTCTGACAGAAGAATTTCAGGGGTTTTTGGTTGCAAAACAGACTCAAAAGTATGGTCTACTTAACATAGTTCTTCCATAGAGTCATGTGAGTTTTTTGAGTTGTTTAGTGGGGGTGATGGATTTCTCTTTTCTTACTACTGAAATACGAAGAATGCAGCAAAGGTCTTGATTATGAGAATGCATCTAGTATTGTTGATTTGCCATGATTGTAAATATGACACTGCTATGCCAGTTCTTTCATGATTCCCTTTTTTTTGCACTATGCTTGAAATTGCTACTAGTAGAAATATGTAACTTGATATTTATCTGTGTGCATACTTTGGCTTGCTTTTGTAATCTCACCTCTGGATTTTAGTTCCTGTGGTAATCTGCAAGGATGATTTAGCAAAACCATCTCTGTTTAGCTGGCACAAATTAATTGTCTAAGTAACTGCTATCAGAGTACCCATTGAAGGGGAAACAAAATAAAGCATCTCATTTTTTGCTTTGCTAATTACCTTTATCCTGTATTAAAGTAAAATGGGATTTCTAAATGATACTTAAGATACTTTGTTTCTCAATCCTAACATAAAATTAATGAACTGGTTAGTACCCCCTTCTTAAAACGCTTCCTTATCTGGAATCCATATGTTGAAAAAATCTCTATGTAGCTATACATTTCTGGTTTTGATGTTCGTTATTCTTGGAAGTTTGATCTATTGGGGTATCTTTGATATATATTAGCTCTGTAAAGAATCCTTGGGATCAATAAAATACCCTGAGATTGAATAATGTTATAGTAATAGTGTTCATATTTTTGTCACGAACACGTCTATTATGAAGTAGGCTAGTCGGTGCTCATCTCCCCAAGAGCAGATATGTTTTAAGACTATTTCTTGGACACCACAAATTATTTAATTTTAGGAAAACCCCCATTATCTGGGTGCAGGTGCAAGTTCTTTCTCTATTTTGGTCCTGTTGTGCAAGTACTGAAGTCATATCCCAGCAGTCTGAGCATACAAGTTCACTATGCTTAAAAAACAGACCGCACTCTATAAAATGTGCAGGTTCAGTTCCTTGTGAGAATACAGCTGCCTAAACCAAATAAATCACTGCATAAATCTGTGTAGTTTGAGAACACAAATCTTGTCAGCAAAGCTCCTATGTCAATGTACTCTATGCAGGCATGCTAAAAATACTTATGACTTAAGGTCTCACATTCTAGCATACATGCAATAGCAATTTTCCCACAGAGCACTCAATGTTCAGTGGCATTAAGCAGTATGGCAAACTAATTCAGTTAAAAAGGGCGAGTTCTTATGTTTATAAACATACAAGAAGTGTCAAACTACTAAATCTCTTGGGGGAATTTTCTTCCACCCTTCTTAAAAGGGCATCTAAGTCTATTCTAACTGTGTTTTTGTTTAACATGTGCAGAGGCTTGCAGACTACCGTGCTCCAATTTTCCAGTTTGGGTTTCAGCCCAGAATCAATATTCAGAATTACTTTATTGCATAAACCATTGCAAATTAGGATGGGAGACTACCAGGATATTTGGTGTCCTTCTTCTTGAAATAGTATAAGGAGTGCTGCAGCAAATATCACATCATAAAAGAAAAATGCAAATACTGAATTTTTATTTCTAATTGTATTTATGCCTCATAATACTCCAGTATATTCTTCTTGTTCAGTATTTTATAATGTTATTGTGATATCTGCAGCAAACATCCTGTTATTGGGCATACCTCATATTTTCTCTGTTGTTTTGATATAATTCAGCAGTTTGCAGTTGGGAGGAGGCATCTGCATATTGAGCTGCTAGCACCCTGTAGCCAGCATGAGTGAATCACAAGCAAGGATTCAGCAGGTGTCCACCAAAGAGATGGTCTAGGAGATCCCTCAATTTCTTATTGTCAGCTGAGGGAAGAGTAAACTTGTAATCATGAGGAATCACATAGGTTTACTTGTCTGTGAGCATCAGTCACTATCTTTCTAAGCCCAGACTTCAGTAGAGTTCTATGACATGTTTGGAAGCCTTTAGTAGTCTGGTTAGACCCGTGCTGTGAACATAGCTTATATGTTGAAAAAGCTAAGTGAAATTGTAATATTTTTTCCTTATTCCCTTGGTTTGCTATGCATTTCAACTCTATCTGATGTTTATTGCCTTTGCACACACATGTAAACAAGTGAGTTACTGCTTTCAGTTTAATATGGATCTTGTGGGGATGGGGGGATCTGTTTCAGAAAGATAAGCAGGACAATTCAGGGAGTTTAGAAGCTATCAGCGACCCCATTCCACAGCCTATGCCTTTTCCACCCACTGCTGTGAGATCAGGTTCTCCTAAACTAGACCCTTCAGAAGTCTACCTGAAGTCTAAGACTATGTATGAGGACAAGCGTGAGTATTTCAACTTCAACTCAGAAATATTCAGTTATGAAATAATGTTTCCTGTAAGTCATATATGTGATAAAACTACTGTGACTTTCATCTTAGTCATTTATCTTGTATGTAGATAACATTTTGAGAATGTTTGAGAAATAATTCATACAGAAATTAAAAAAAAAAATGGAACCCTTTAAAAAAAAAGTTTTGCTTTGTCCATTAGCCTTGCTAAAATACATGTTTGTTTTTGTCCAGTTATGACTGCAGGTCTTTAACCTTGTGACTATTCAAGGCACACTTGGGAAGAACACTGTACAATGTGGTTCATACAGCTGCATTGGAAATTATAGTTCAGCATTATATTTATAACATTATCTGGTTTTACTAACAAAGATATATAATCAGTTAATGAAAACAAGTACATTTTATACAAACTACTGACTCATTAAATCAAATGTAATACAATACATAGGATAAACAAAAACCTTTTGTTGTGCCAAGAGTGCCAGCCAAACCTGTTCCATAAGTATCCTGGAAGAGCCAGTAGGACAGCTACTCCCTGATATGAATAATCAATAATATGGGCTACCTTGCTAAGATAGAGGGCTGATGTTACAACAAGGGAGGTATAAAAGGTAAGCAGACTTACAAAGGAGTCATTACAATGTACATAAGAGACCCCTATCAGCAAATGATACGTTGCTTCTAAATGTCTGATCATCAGCCAATGTATTCCTCTGTGCATATTCCAACATATTTCCCAACCATACTTGCAATAAAATGATTATTTATAGAAATAATGTAATGTTCTAAAAATAGTTTGCTATCCAGAAAGTTCTGAACGAATTGGTTACTTTGAGGGCCTGATAAAAGTAAATGTGACTTCCTTTCCAAAATGTCTCCCTTTCCATTTGGGAGACATAGCCTATTTTAGCCTCATCTTTACTTAAGTGAATTTCATCAAACTACTTTTACTTGATCTCAATATATCTGACAAGAGCCAGATATTAGTATTCTCCCGAGCAACATTTATTAGCCAGCAATAAAGATTATAAGAAGTAGAACATAAACAGTCTGTTTTGCTGATATTAACATCGTTTTGTTAAAGAAGTTCAATGCTTTTAGCAGCACTTTTTCATAGCTTTGTAAGTACAGGTTTTAGTGACAGGCCAGAAGAGGCTGATAGTATTCCTTGGGATATTTTCTGAAAGAACTCTTTCTTAGTGTTTTGAGTTTTGCTACAGATAGACTTGTGTAAATGACTCCATAGCAAAACTGTACAGACAGTTTAAAAAAAAAAAATACTGTTTATAACAAACTAAGCTAAGTCATTAAAGACTGTAACATCAGAGATCAGAGAAAAATAAAACTAAACAAACTTGACATGTCAAATAATTTAGCATGCCAAAAGTCAGTTACAGTAGCTGCATTGGAACACAGTAGGAAATTTGTGTTTCTTATATCTTAGTATGAGATCATGAAAAAAGGAACCTGCACCATTTTTACAGCAATTTGACCACTCTTCAAGCTCAAGTTGCTTTAATTTTCACATATCTGAAGGAAACTTGATAATTTCAGTGTTCATACGGTATAGTTCTGAGCTGTATTACAGTCTGAATTTTGTCCAAGTGCTGCTTATGAAAGCAGCTCTGATTTGTCCTTTGGCATTCATCAGCCTATCCTTTCCTTTTTCAGCTTTTTCTTGAAATAAAACTTTTCTCATGTTGAGAGGAGAACCACTGAGGATTTAACAGTTCAAATTATTTACTGTTTTTGGTTACTGTGTTCTGTCAGTAAAAAGAATCAGAAAGCACAACAAAAGAAATCTTTCAAAAATCAAAGGTAGTTCTTTAAGTGTTTTTGAAATGTTATTTTATCTTAGCTCCAAACACAAGAGATCTGGATGTTTTCCTGCGAAAACAAGAATCAGGCTTTGGTTTCCGGGTGCTTGGAGGAGATGGACCAGATCAACCAGTAAGTGAAATTGTTTACCTTTGCCTACATATCATCTTACAATACTATTCTTAGAATGACTCATGCTCTGTCATTCTCATTTCTCTCCCATTCAAAATGATTCAGTGATGTTTCTGTCAGAATCAGAAAAGGACTATCTTAGTACTTTTTTTTTTTTTTTTTTTTTTACAATTTTGTAACCCAGTATGTGTTTACACAGCTTCACTCCTATTCACAGTGATTTCCCAGAGTCTTTTCAGAGTGAATTACATACTGGCAGGTTAAACTAAACAATATACTAGAAGGTAATCATATAATTAGTTTCTTATTTAAGCATGAGAGGAACAGTGTTCAAACTACAATTTTGTAACAGCTGAAAAAAATGGTGCAGAACATTGGCTTGTTGCTGTGGAAAGTAACATGTATGGCTCAGCTGAACCTTCATAATGACATGGGGAAACATTTTGTTTGCAGAAACTTAGAATAAAAAACCTTTTTATTTTCGCAGTGTGAGAACTGTGAAATTATTCTTCATGCTCTGTATTCAGAAACAAGCACAGCATAGCTTATAAAGCTTTGAGATGGAAAAATTTATCAATTCAGCAACTGCCTTTTAAAGATCAAGAATTGGAGATTCAAATTACCAGCTTCATACTGAATTTAAGAATTGGTTTGATAGTCCAGTTCTTGAGAGGAAAATTGCCTCATCTTTTGTCAGTGAAAGATTCCCGAGTAATCCAGTTAAAGCTGGAAGATGTAATCAGCTCTGGTTAAAGCTAGGTAACGTAAACAGTGCTTAGTCTAAGCAAGCAAGCTGGCTATTCTTAATATGTATTCAGTGATGAGTTGTAGTTTTTTTTTTTTTTTGGTCAAAGCATGCACTTTGGTATTTTTTGCATGGTATTTTACTTTAGGCAGCAAAGACCTTTAGTGTCATGTCTAGCATTGTACCTTCTTGGGGAGCACAAATGCATTGATCATAACCCAAGGACTCCAAAAGGTGTCCTTAGTCTCTGTAATCATTTTGAGCGTCTGTGAGAAACCAACAGTTGAAGAGCTAAAGGATGGATTTAGGTTTTCATACGAGTTGTGGGAGAGCAGACAAGGGAAACAGCTCTAAATAAACACAGTGTTTAAGCTCTTGTCCTATTCAAATTCAAATGAAAGGAAGAAAATGGTTAGTTACCTTTCTTTCCTTTCCTCTTCATGGTTGACTTCGGTCCAAGAGACTCCAATTCACTTTGTGTTTGTCTAGATACTTTCTTTGGCATCAGTAGTTCTCCATCAAGCTTATAATACTCATCTATGTTTCTATAATTGTTGCTGTATCTTGGGAACACTTAAAAGGATAGTGTTGGCACTAAGCCTTTGCACATTATACCACCTAATCTTGTTAGGGTCTTGGCACAGAATGAGCAATGATGATGCTCAGTATTAGCGAGCGTGCCAGTTCTTACTGGGAAGCAGATGCATGGAGGGAATCTTCTGCTTACCCTGGAAAAATTCCATCAAGTTTCACTTTCAAAAGCAGCCATATAAAATGAGGCAAATCTGGGGGTTTTGTGTCCTTCCCTTCACCTGAAAATATTCAAAAGCACGCTCTGTTTTGTCTGTCAGACTGCCTCCTAGTGGGTTCCACTCAGGGATGTGAGAATGGCCTTTCGGTGCATTCTTTCAGGCTGTTACTTGCCTTGTGTTTTTCTCTCTCATCTTGGGAAAATAGAAAATGTGGTACTTCAGGATTTTCGTGACAGCCTTGAAGCAGAAGCTATTTAGACTGGATGCCTTCTGTAGATGGATGTTCGTAGTGTTTTGCATCCATAACTGTCATCAGACTGTGGTTCTAACATTTGTACAAGAGGAAGAGCACTGGTTAGAAGCTGGTTTGTTTTAATCTGGTCAATGACTAGAATTCAGTTACAGTTTTAAGTCTTCAGTGTAACAGCGTTTCCTGATTTAAGCCTACAGAGCTGCTGCATAGTTTGAGCACTCAAGCAGAGATATCATTTAAGTCCTTGTGAGGGAATGGCAAAGATGGAGGTAGACTGGTAAATGCTTGTGTGGAAACTCCTGGGTGGTCCGTTCCTGTTATGGCAGGCTTTAAGAGGGATTCACTCTGTTTCCTAAAAGGCCAAACAATTTCCCTAGAAAGAAGTTGTTAAACTTATACCATATTGTCAGAGACTGATTCCTTAACTGTCAAGTTAAGAGAAAAAGCTTTTGGAATAGATACACTGGTAGATTGCCTTCTGATTGCAATTGAAGGAAGATGTTTTTTTCCATTCACAGCTGTGATCCAGTGCCAGCCTTTTTCTAACATGCAGTTAAAAGAAAAGGAAGAGCAATGTTTCTCCTGTTGAGGAAGAACAAGCAATTTTAATTCTGTTGCACTTTATAGTATTTATCGTCTTTTGTTTCTATAACAACAGTAGCTGTTGGTAGGTGTCAGGCTAATGTCATGAATGCTGTGTACAGTGATCTGCTCTCCAGTGCTTAACCTCAAACAGCTATTGGCCATAATTGTTGTTAATCTTTCATGTAACCTTAATGTGATTGTAGCTTTGAGTCCCAAATTGTATCCATTCATTCAGCTTGCATAAGCTATACTCACTGACTATGTATGGTTTCTGCTAGAATATGATAAACAGATAATCTTTAAAAATGTCTTCCCAAAAGCACTTATCTATCTGAGTTCATATGGATTGCAAACATTAAGTATTTTGATATATTCATATTCTACAGTTCAAACCCACTATGTTTTATTGATAGATTTATATTGGAGCCATAATCCCACTGGGAGCAGCAGAAAAAGACGGCAGGCTTCGAGCTGCTGATGAACTGATGTGCATTGATGGAGTGCCTGTAAAAGGGAAATCACACAAACAAGTTTTGGACTTAATGACCAGTGCTGCACGGAATGGTCAAGTGCTGCTCACAGTCCGGAGGAAGATCTTCTTTGGTGGTATGTGTCTGTCTGTCAGGAGAGTGTACTGTGGGAAATGGAGCCTGGCTAAAGGAATACTTCAGTTTTATAAACATATCAACTAAAGCTGCACTGAAACATATCAATTATCATAGTAGAACTGAGTGACTTCTGAGATTAAAGGCTGTCACCTGTAATTCTGAGTAGGTGGGGAAAAGCAGAATTTAATAAGCTGATGCTTTTGGTGCTTACTAGTTTGCACTGCTCGCACAGGTAAAGGCTCTGAAAGTTAATGTGAGGTTGATGTTTTCCTCAAACCTTTTCACAGATACTAGTTAGAACAGTCACTCATGCTATATATATAAATTGAATAATAACACAACCTGATTTCTGTAGAACATGTTATATTCTGAAGTCTGTTGGGATCTATGTGTAGCAAGAATAAGTCTGTTCAAAACAGAGATAATTCAGTGCAGCATTTTGTATTCTACAATTTTACAATGGTGTCCAGATCTGCAGTGTACAGAAGAGTGTTTATCCTTGATTTGATAGCACTGATCACATAAGTGACAGATCTAGGACAGAAAACCAAAGTCCTGATACAGTGTCCCCTGAACTAGTATTGCTTTTCCATTGCATCATTCAGCCATAAATTCCAAATTTGTATAAGTAGAATAACATTCCTTTCTAAACTATGAAAACACTAACTGTGAAATTCTCATAAGCGTCTCTTCATTTTCAGGTAGATGAAAGAACGCGTGAGCTACAGGCTCAGTCCCAATGCAGGCTCATACTTTGGCCCAGAGTTACCAAAAGATTCCTTATTACTGAGTACATGATAAAATTGCAGATGGAATTGTGTTAATAAACACAAAGTAATGCATTCAAGGGAAAATATAACATAACCTGTTCATTTACAATTGATAAGCTCTAAAGTGGTTATTAATGCACAAGAAAAACCAATAAGCCAGTCTTGATAGCTCTCTGGAAACAACATTTCAATGCTTAGGGGAAATCTTAACGTCAAATAGACGTTAGAACTTAAATTTTAACACGTTGTTACAGAACTCCATGGTGCACCCACGTTTTGAATGCTTCATGCAATTCTGATTGCCCCATCTCAGAAGAGTATAATAGAGCTAGGAAAGTTCAGACAGAGGTTAGAAGGGTGATAAGAGCTATACAAAAGCTTTCATGTTAGGAAAAACTGACTGGACTAGGACTCACCAGTTGTAGCAAAAAGGTGACTGAAGGGGAGAAATGAGAGGTTTACATGATTCATAAGACTGTAGAGAAATGTATATATGTGAAATGAAATGAAAGCAAGTACATCTTGATAAATTGAACCTTTAAATCATCAGGCTTTTGAATGCTTTATCCTGCATCTGATTTCTATGTGATCTTAATTATATTGCTACTAAATTTGCCCAGTGCTTTCCCAGGCAGGCAGTTTCTTTGTGCTGGTACTGATATGTACGCTTTTGCTGTAATAATAATAAACCAGCAGTATTATTTTTTCCTATTTGGTGTTTGTCTGTTACCTGTAAGGAGAAAAGCAACTAGAGGAGGAAGAGTCACAGCCTATCTCAGCCCAAAATGGATCTCCCCGACTGAATCGGGTTGAGTTTGCAAGCCAGCAGTCCCCAGAGGTCTATGATGTCCGCCTACAGCGGAAGGAGAATGAAGGATTTGGCTTTGTCATTCTCACCTCAAAAAACAAACCTCCACCTGGTGGTAAGTGCTATATTCTGGCCAATGTTTTCGGCGCCTGGCTTCATCGATGCTTGAGTGTTATAGTGTGATGTTTGTACCAGTGCTGCTGTTGTCATTAGCAAGTGTACTCAGGGTTGTAGGTTCTTCATTGATCTTTCCTTAGGATGTGGTTATGTTACATACACAGCAGTCTGTGTAGGTATAGTCTTGTTTCACCCGCAGTACTTTTACAATCCAAACAGCTGAAGTTTACTCTGTCTTGCTTCATGTCTATGCTCTCTTTCACCCAACTGTGGATGAGGAGTGGGGAGCAGGGAGAAAATGAATCATACTCAACCAGTCCGTGCATGGGAGTGTGAAGCATTTGTGACAGGGTAGTCGTCAGGACTTGGACAGTTTTCAGGCTGTGGCAGTGTTGTAAATTCTGTACACTTCATTAATTCATAGGCATTTTAATTGAAGTATAGCGTCAGTCTTGGTTTTGTATGCCCTATTCGGGAAGAACTTTCTTATTTTGGGGATTTGAGAAAGTAGAAACTGCAGCACTCGGAAGAAAGCAAGGAAGTTGTTATTGTCAGGAAGATAGGGTGTTTGCCTGGAAAGATCCTCAAAATGAAAAGGTAGCACAGTCTTGTATTACAGTTCTGATATATAGATTTGGATTCAGGCATAATTGTAAAGATAAACAGCAAAATAACCAAGGTTAAAAGCAAAAATAAAAAGATAGGTTGTGAGCAGAAATGAATAAGAGAAGCTGCATGCAGGAAGCTCTGGAATTCAACTCCATTAATGGAAAGATTTGTGCCCCCCTACACAAAAGCAGTTTTGTTCTGTGTAATCAAATGCATTTTGTATTCTATGTGCTGATAGCTACTAGTTATCTAGCAGTGCCAAGTATAAACTACTGAACATTTTCTGCATGAGTTGATGAGTAGGATCATCCTGTTGAGATTCGTTCCCTTTGTCAATTGAGTTAGTTATCTGTGTCAGCCCTTAAAATACAAACCAGCTCTGTGAATTCACCCACAACTAACCCATTTTTTAATAGCAGTGAATTGAGTATTTCCTGAACTCCTTACCCAATTCCCATAGTTCCTTGATGTAAATCACATTTCTGAAACCTGCTCAAGTGGTTCCAGGCTGATACAATGACGATGGCTTGAGTGTCCCTTTTTTATAAACTCGGACACTTTCTTCTGCTTTTCCATTTCATTTTACTGTACAATGAAAAACAGCAGAAGCACACTAAAAATAGTTCTTCTAAATAACATTGTGCTGAATTCATATGATACGTATTTTGAATGTGATGCAGTCTTGGTTTAGATAATACCTTTTTTAAGAATTCTAAAACCAACCATTTTGGAAAGCGCCCAGTGTCAGCCTAGGCTATGAAAGACAGAGCTTCAGCAGAGCGGTGAGTTGTTGCTGCCATACGAGGTCAATATGCAGAGCTGCAGACTTTTTTCATAAAAGCAGTTCCCATGGTAACATTCGGGCCTGGAACTGTCACCCTCTGACGCTGTGCAAGTATTTGTGTCCTGTGTTAGAATTACTGTGGGTTGATGTGTTTGTTGTCTAATCGGTTGGATACTAAGAAAATATATTATAAACAGAATTCTGCTATAACATACTGGTATTATATTGCTGTAAAGCTGTTATAGACAACATTTTTGTCAGAGAGTCTGCTGCAAATCCATGTTTGCTTGATATTACAATTGGAAATAGTAGAAGATAATTGAAGCTTACTTCAGCACTGGGAATATAAGCACTGTGGTCCTGGGCTGTTTGTAACACACAGAAATAGGAGACATAGGTACGTGAATGTGCTGCGTTATGCAGAACTTTTCTTTGCCACAGTTTAAAGTGAAGCCACTGTGTTCTTGTAAAGCTGGGATATTTTAAAGCAAATAATCAGCAGTTGCGAGTCTGCAACCCTGCACTGTTTTTCTCTTCACAGTTGGCTCTTAGGTTTATATAATACTAAAAAAGCAGTCTTTTAAAGGAAGCGTAATTAAAATTTAAACTCATGGTAAATGCTGAAAGACTTTAATGTCTGTTCCTCTGCAGTAACTGCTGTGTGTGTTTGCTCATTAAAACAAACCTTGATGGTTTTTTTAATCTTGAATGATGATCTCAGCTGATGTCTCTTTCTGAAAGTGTTTCAGATTTGCTGACATGATTTTGAAATGTTAGCTCATAATAATCTTGAAAAGTGCATAATGTTCCTCACCTCTTTGATCCCTCAAAAGGAAGCATGTTTAGAACAGGACTAATAAACTTAATAAAACAGGTACATGTCAAACCCACTTCAAGCATCGGATCTACGAACAGGTTTTTACATGAAGTAACAGGAAGAGCATTCATGAAAAAGTATAGAGGTCAGTGGAGAGAAGTAACAGTTCTGCTTGGAAATGGAGTTACTAAGAAGTCTGCACAGTGGGCAGAAGAGCCCTAATGAGATTCTGTAAGGACAGGATCTGGTTTTGCTATGCTTTAGGGACTCGAATGAAAGATTGCTCTAGATGCATGGGAAAGCATGGTGATGTGCTTTGATTTAATGCAATGTCCTTCAGTATCAGTATGCAAGCACACAATGAGCCTCTTTCTTTTGCCCAAGGTTTTGGTATGTTCCTCCTGTTGCAATGGCTTCTCACTGGTTGATGACAGCTCTCCACAAGCACTAGTACAGCTCTTAGCTGGTAGAGTGTGGAGATGCACTTCCAGCTGAAGAGAAGCCTGAAGGAAAGTATATTTAAGAGGCGCATCCCTCTCTTTGGTACTCAGTGAACTTTCTTTGGGTTCATGGTTCAGCACCTTTGAATGCTCCATGGAGCAACATATACAGGAGGGACACTGGGAGGCAGTGCTATCTTATTATTATCTTCAGGTACTAATCCTAGGATATGGCTAATAACACCAACACGTATAAAAGTCTTCATAACACCTAAAACCACAAGATATATCATGTTTCAGGAAGAGGGGCACTCTTGGTGAGCTAACTGCTTTCCCTTCCCTGCAGAGGCCAGGTGAGGTGTAGCTGGATGTTGAGGGACCTCAGCAGCCAGGTCTGGTTTGTTCCCTTTCTCAGATAGAGATTTGGATCACCAAGCAGTCCCTGTGCCAAAATGACATGACATGGTATGACATGGCCCTGTAGGAGCTGCTTGCAGCCCAGAAGCAATAGGTTGACCACCCATGCTTTACCTTCCTCACCTCTCTGTAGCACTAGTTAGCCATGCAGACAAGTGGCACTGCAGCAGACTATTCCTCCACTAGTTTTAGGTGCAGGACATCAAGGTTCCTCGTATGGTTAGAACAGAGGGAGAGAGATTTGGTTTTCTAGTGCAGATTCAAAGCAGGAGCCTAGCTTAGGTACTCTGACTGTCAGGAGAACTATTCTATTGATTATACACATCAGCTTCTTGGTGACCCCCCCCCCCCCCCCCAATACTTAATTCATTTTAAAATGCTACCCTTTAGAGCAGGAACAGCCTGTGAGGTGCTTCTGGGTCTGTAAGATTCCTAACTTAAATGAATATTAATTGTGTTCTGAAAAAGCTGATATGCCTGTTCTTGGTTTCCTAGTGATTCCTCACAAGATTGGGCGTGTTATAGATGGGAGTCCAGCTGAACAGTGTGGGAAGCTGAAAGTGGGAGACCGCATCTCGGCAGTGAATGGTCAATCAATCATTGAGCTCTCACATGACAGTATAGTACAGCTGATTAAAGATGCAGGCAATGTGGTAACTCTGACTGTCGTTGCTGAGGAAGGTAAGGAAGATGCATAACACAGCTGAGTGAATATGTCCTACCAAATTGGCAGTCTAACGTTTAATAGTTTCTAAAGTTAATACACAAAATGGAGTATTGCGAGATGTTTGGGATTTAAAGAACATATTCTCCCATTGAATGAAAGAAAGTGAAGCTCATTCATTTGCACAGTAGGAACTGAGCACAAGTGGGACAGAAGGAGACAGGTGCTGAAATGGTTATATTGAAAAATAAGATCTATGGAGGATGTGATGTAGGGGAAGAGAAATTCTCATGGTTTCTCACATGAGAGAAGGGGACTGCTGCTAATGGGGAAACATGTCCTATCCAGACCTCATATTCTTCAGCTAAAGAGAAGTTATCTCTTCTGGGGGAACTACAGCAGATGAGCAAGACTACATTAGGAGAGAGAATTTTCTCACCTTCCTGGGCAACACATATGTCTCGCTGCTGTAGTCATTGTCAGGAAGGCTCCGTTCCAAGGGTACGAGGTAGTCTGTCAGGACACTGTGGAGCAGGCTGATGCAACTCTGCCAGACTGCTGTCCTTCAGGAACTCTGCTGCTGCGCAGAAGTTAGGTGCTATGAACACCTAAGCCTGTGAACATCTACTTTTTAGATCCTCTCCAGTTAGGCACTCTGTGTCTTTTTTTATTGCTATGTGAAAATATACAAATTGCCTAGTACCACATCCCTAGGATACAACAGAAACATTCTGTAGTTCTTGTGTCTTCTAAAAATGCATTTTGAAAAATGGTCACGTCCCACCATAAAAATCCTATTCAGCTATTTTCCTGCAGAGCCTTCCAGGCTGCTAGCAAGTTCTTCGCACACAGCAGTCATAGCCTCTGAACAGCAAAATGGATATTTGTGACTGCAAAGTTACATCTTCAGAGATTATTTTTTCTAATGAAAGCTCTCATGCAACATTGCTTTCAACACGATATTGTTCCTACACAAACAATTTGCTATAAATATGTAAAATCCAATCGTTTGATGAGAAAAAACTGTTTTCCAACCCTGCTTACCATTGCATTTTTCTGGGTTGCTGCTTGTGAGTTTAATTAAACTGGCTATCGTTATTGTGCCAGAAATTTGGCTTTTCTCACCTTTTAAATAATAAATACCTAAAGCCAGAATGTGAGTAAAGCAAACAGATCATTCTCTAATTTCAGATTCGTTGCAAATATTTAACACACTAGCTCACCCTGCAATATAGAATACTAAAGACTTGCTTTCCCTTTTTAATGCTTGAAACAGATAGACTTCTATAAATTGTTATTTTTCTATGAAAATTTTCATTTTTTCAAATCAAATTCATTCCAGAGAAAAGGGACACACCTCAAAGCTGTTGCCCGTGGCAACGTTCGTAATGCAATTGAAGTCTGAGTTGGTTGCATTAGATCTATTTCTCTGGGGCTCTTAATCGGCTTTGTCTTTGGAATAAACTTTCCTAATATAACCTTTTTGTCCTTTATTTTTTCCTGACCCTACCTGGACTCTGTATAAGAACTTTAGCTTTTTCCATTTCCTCATTTACAGATTTGTAGCCAGAATGTAGAGATAAAATACCAATCTGAGTGAGAATCAACGATGAGAGGAAAAAAAAGGCAGTAGCAGCTGATAAAACTAAGCTGAAAAGCACAGTCAGAAAAACGGCATGACTTAAAGGAGCTGAAGTTGGCATGTTTTGGCTGTAGAGAATTTTGGGACAATGGAGGAAATATAAGCAGAGCCTATTCCACAGAAACAAGAGTATGTTACTGTTTCAAAATTCTCATTGTTTTATAAAGCTGGAGAATATAGTTCATCTCACAACACAACCCACAATGCAGCAAAATCCCTTAGGGAAGGAAGCCAGAGTGGATGTAAATTAGTCAGGGCTTCAATCATTTTCCCCTACTGGGGTGCTGGGGAAAGAGGTGAGCTTTTCTGAGATTGTTCACAAGATAGCGGATAACCCTTAGGAAGAGTATGATATGCAACTCCAATGAGAAAAATGCCTATTTTGCCAGAAGCTCTTCAGCATCACAAAATGTAAACGCTAATGGAGTTTACTGTTCCCCAGTGCCTCATCTTTAGTGCTATCCTCAGAGACTGGCAATGAAAATACTACCATGTATCCCTTCTACCTATCCCTTCCTTCCTCCTAGCTTTCACAGATGTTAGATCTTTGCTTTTCATATGAATAAACGAATTCCACTTCGTGCTCCAGAGGACATTCTTTAACATTTTTCACAAAAGCAGGAGCCTGTCAGCTTCTGTCATGTATTAGCTAGAAATGCAAGAGAGCAGACTGAATAGAGGACTGGAGAATTCATGCAAACAGATGGCCTTTTCCTTGCTGTGCTTATAAATTAAAATTCTGAGTATAAAGCAGGAGTAAAAGTTGACATTTCATCTCTAGAGAAAAAAAATCTCTTTAAGGCATGTCATAGTAGTAGCGCCAAGCAGTCCTCTGAAGGACTTCTGAGGTCTGGCACACCTGAGAAATTCAGTCTAATAATGTGCAACAGACAAAGTTGCATTATGTTTTCTTTACCTTAAGGTGCATGTGTACTTTGTATGTTTTAGTGAGGTTTGCTTGTTTGTTTGTTTTGACTCAAAAATGGATTACTGTGATGCGCTTAACAGAAGACTGGAGCATCTCTAATTTGGCTCTTCGGGATGCCTTTTCAAAACATTGAAAGGAAAAGGAGTTCATTAGTTTATAATTCAGTACATAAGTCCATCTTGGGCTACAACTTACCATTTAAGGTTCTAGCTAACAGGCAGCTTTCTGCATAGAGTATGATTCATTGCTCTTTTAAGTGACAGAGACGTTTTGTATTTGGAAACAGGTTTTTCCATAAATGCAATGGATTTACTGTAAGTGTCCAATCACTGTATTTTGTGTGGAAGGGAAAAAATCGTCTTAAAAACTGCTTTACAAGATTTTCATAAAATGCCATTACACTTTAATTTTTAGTTAGCCTTTGGGAGAAGGCAAAATGCCCTAAAATTCCTGTTGATAATATGCCAGTAAACAAGTCACATGGATTTCACTGTGGGAATAGTTCATAGCCTTTCCTGCAGCTTTCCTGTGGCACTCTCCATTGTGTCTTAGAAGAGTTGACAGTTTCCTTCCGATCATTACCATCTTCACCTGTGAATCCTGATGGCCCCTGCAGATACTCAAATTTCTCTTACTTTCAAAAAGGGATATATTCTCAAATTATTCTTCCTCTCTTATGTATTTTTGTTGTAGTGAATATGTGAACCAGCTTTGTGGATCTGACTAGCTGCAGTAGCTTCTAGTTTTATTCTATGTGCATACAATCTGAAATGCTTCTGTTCATGTCTGGTTCAGTTAAAAATAAGTTGTTTGAGGAAAAAAAAATGTAGGTAAGAATAAAATTCATAGGAATGGTATTTCAGGGGAAGCAATGAACTCCGCTATAGTTCCTGGCTTATGGCATTAGACCTAGGAAAATCCTCTTCCCCTTTTTAATTGGTGTGAGTTAGACTTAATCTAAGATGCTGTAGCGGTAGCATTCATTATGAACAATGTATCAGCTGTTACACAGACCTGCCTTTCAGCTCATTCTCAGAAAACCGACCGTTTTTCCTGAAATGCACACCTGCCACCTTGTTCTAGGCAGCTGAGAACAGGAGACAGCGCTGAGGGGAGACTATCGTGAGACCACAGTGACCTACTTTTATATATAGGAAGGTCTCTGACTGTTGATTTTGTTTGAATTCATTAGAACATCGTGGTCCTCCGTCAGGAACAAACTCCGCCAAACAGAGTCCAGCTCCACAGCACAGGCCTCTGGAAACAGCACAGAACAGTGCAGAGAGGTACAGAGTGTGTGTTTGTTTGTTTGTTTGGTAAAAGGTACCGAGAACAAGAAAAGTTCGACCAGTGGGGTTGTTGCAGCTTGTAAGAATAATCTCATAACACTTATTTTAATATTAAAACAGAAAGCTGCCTTTGAGCAGTGTCAGAATGGAGTGGTCACTGCAGTATGGCAGTTCTGTGAGTGAGTCCTTGTTTCTGGAAAATCAGTAGGGAGGTTCTTTCAGCATTGTGGTGGTGACATGGCATGGGATTAAATTAAAAATGTGAGTTGACTTCCTAGAAATTGGAAGTTTGAGGCATTATTCAGAAATACTTCATCATGTTCTGTGAATGAACTGGGGATGCTCTGAACTCAACATGAAGCAGGTCTTTATGAAAGAGGACTTGGGAAGAAGTTTTCCCAGGAAATGATTGAGGCTGAGCTACAGAGAATAAGTCTGTATTCTTCTTTGTTTGTTTGTTTGTTTGTTTGTTTGTTTTACTCTCCTTTGGTTTCTCAGATAATATGATTGAAGTCTCCATACTCTGAATGAAGCAAGTATTATAACTCTGCCATTGCACCAGGAGTCTGACATTACGTGTCATTAGTGTGCTTATACTGATTTTGTTTATAAGCTGTAGATGATCAAGAAGCAGCCTTACATGAAGTCATTTATATGCTCAATATGTAAGAAGCCTGTACTGTCAGCTGAACTACTGTGTGTTGGATCCCACACTAAATCTATTATAAAACTTATGATGATAATTCTTTAAATGCAAAGGTAACATCCACTTCCTTTTACCTCTGTAGGGCCGCCATGGAAGGTGAAGCTGGAAAAGAAGTATCAAATAGTTACAGGCTTTCGTGGCCCGAGCATAAGCACTTGACACAATCTGATGCTGGTGTTGCTTCAGTAATTGGTAGCCGTCATTCGCAGGTACAGGTAACAATCCAGAGGATTCAGACGCATGCAAAATACTGGTTTGTCAAGACAGAGGAGTTACGACTGAGTATTCAAGAGCAGGATAGTAAAATGTTTTCCTGTCAGACATGAGTATAAAAGTTGCTTATAAAAATGGACTAAAGCGTTAGAGGGAATGTTTTTGCTAATGTTTTAAATTTGATTATCTTCTTAGTGTAGTTTAATACTCATTATAAAACAAACAGCAAATCTTTGGAACTGGGCTACTACAGACTCTTTGCCAAGATTTTGTAAAGAAATTCCATGTATATCTAAAACTTAGACGGAAAAATGTTCTATACTTTTTGACTTAGCATGACACTACTATACCTAATCATACATGATTTGTGATGAATTCAAGTTAAATTGTGTATTGCACATTCTTCATAAAGTATGAAACATTTTTCCAGAAAAATAGAAGTTTAAATCTGCCTACAGTTCCTCATCTTTTTTTGTGTGTCACTTCCTACACAGAATCTTGGCTGCTATCCAGTAGAATTGGAAAGAGGCCCACGAGGGTTTGGATTTAGTCTTCGTGGAGGAAAGGAATACAACATGGGCTTATTCATCCTTCGACTTGCTGAAGACGGGCCAGCAATCAAGGATGGGAGAATACATGTGAGTTTGTCTTCTCTGATCAATTTGTTAGTACAGAAGTTGGCCTTTGGATGTATTTAATTACCTGTAATGGTAACAATCTTGTGTTTTTGAGTGTGGGGTCCCAGCAGGCAGAACAGTATCTGGACAGCTGCCAGTCTTTCAGCTATTATTGTACAGTGATAGCAAATTCTATGGTGGTAGGCTTGGTTTTCAAAGAAGAAAATATATGAGCAGCTCTGCCCCTCCAAAATAAACTGTCCGTCCATCCACATGCTTGAGTTATGGTAATGTACATGTCCCAGGCTGTGAGCAACAGTTACTTAAGATGGATGATATTTTAGAAGCCCTGAAAAGAAATTGCACAGTGAAGCAGAAAACTGAAAGAAGAGTCACCATCCAAGTCAGTGAACTTATTTAAAAAAAAAAAAAAGTTTTGTGCATGCTATGTTATTGCTGTTCTGTGCACTGTTTGAAGATCTAAGCCTAATTTTTTTCAAAGATTGCTATATTAAGTCTTACGTTTGTGTAAGGAATTTACTTTCAAGTATTATGTTAAAAGCAAAACACATGGGTGCAATGGCAAAGAATGATGGTGTGTGAGAATCTGTAGCGAGTGTTCAAAGCTGAATTTTCACAGACGAGAGCATGGAACTGAGAGTCCAGGTACCTGTGAGATGCCGTCCCACTTAAACTCCTGCAGTTATACTGTGGCCATTCTGCTATACTGGCCAATGACACAACTCTGCCTCCACTTGTACTACAGTATGCAGATACTTGTTGGGGCTACTGTGAGGCTTATCTGGACGAGAAATTCTAAATATTGTTAACTTCTATTATCCTAACTCTTTACAATAATTAACTTTTTCTCTAAAGCTTGAGAGACTAAGTGAGTGTTTTAGTACTAATATTTTCTCCTTTAAGTGGTGTTATACTAAGCTCCAGAGCTTTGCTTTCCAGGCGGCAGCAACCAAAAGGTTCCCAGCTGTGAAAATGGGTCTTTGCTTGGAGAAACTTAACAACGATAAACATCACCAAAAATATACAGTTCCCTAACTCTGGCACCATTCAGCTTTATGGATTTCTATCTCTGGAGATACTCCCCTGTCTCTGCTCCTGTTACGCTCTGGAGTGTAGCAGCAGCATTTAGTCTCTGTTTTCAGATGTGCTTTGGCTGTATTCTACTTAACATGGATCATCTGTGCCAAGGCATAGATTATTTGTGGGGAATGTGATGGCAAGATATTACTGAAAACACTCTATTTCCCAAGTGTTTGCTTTCACACTGTCGTAGATATTGACTCACTGTCTTCCATGTGCATGTCGTCTTCCTCCAGGGGACAGGACAGGCCTGATGGGGCTAATGGTCTCTCCTAGCACAGCTGTGTTCAAGTAAGAGTCCAAAAATAGATCCCTAGGGTCAGGGGGAGGGACCCTGGGCAGCTTCCTCAGCAGTCTTCTGCAAAGCCCACTCCCATCACTTATTGGGGAGTACCTTACTGTGCAGGGAATATGTGTTAACGCCTGCAGGAGGTTCCTCAAATGCTCACAGTCTCTTCCTCCTCCATCCAGTCTTGGTACAATAAAGTACATTCTTGTTGCATATTCTCCAGTCTCCTCTCTTAATAAAAAGAAATCCTATCCTAACAGATAGATTAAAAAGTAAATAATAAAAGCAAACCTGGAGTTATTTTTGTGGGTCTTCTCATGAGGTCTCATCCAGTTCTTTTTTGTTATCCATTAGTTACTGATCACTTTCTGGCCAGTAAACTAGGGGTGCCTTCTAATTGTAGGTGGCAAACATGTTGAGCAAGATTCAACCATGTATGAGCAACAGGCTCAGTTCTTGGCTTACTGTTTCCCAGAGGCCTTACTTTTGACTAATAGATACCTACACCGTACAATATAGCGGGGTTCAACTACAAATTCATGCTGTTTGGATGCTGAAATTGTGTGTAAAATTAGTGCAATCGCATCAGAAAAGGGATTTGGAGCGGAGACAGCTGCCTGTCCCACCAGTGTTTGAAAGGCCTGACTTGTTTTTCATCATCGTTTCATTTCTGGTGGTGCATCTGTGTGAATAAAATATTGCTTAATGCAGATCTATGAGTGGCAATAGCAGGAAAAATGTTAGTATAATGTGAGAAAGTAGGTAAAATGTGCTGCTGTCGGCACTACTTCTCCCATGGTTGTTGCAGCACACTGGACACCAGCCCCAGCTATCTTAGTGCTTTTATTATTTCATTAGTGAATGTATTCGCTGCAATGATGCTGGTGGATGTGGATGGTAGATGGAGCAAGTGTTGGAACAGCCACAAATGAGGCACTAGTGGGAGTGGTGGAGCAGAACCAGGGGAGGGGTTTAGTGCCATGTGCCCCAACAGGTCCCAGTGAGGACAGAGAGTATGTACTTACCCAGTATGAGATTATTCATTATTTTTATGACATTCAGTTTCTCCTTCTTCAGCTGTAAAATGCTGTCATTTCATGGCTATACTTTTAAATAACTAAGAGGAATTTCTCACCCACTTAATGGCAGCTGAGGACAACGTGGTGCACCTAGTGTGGTGTGGAGCTTCCTGTCCTATCAGATGAGTAACCAACTAGTGACTTTCTTTGGCAGAGACATTTTATTTAACAGAGCCCAGATAGATAGTCTCTTTAAGCAGCTAATTTTATGCACTAGTGACATCCATTGGCTGATCCACGTATTGCAAAATAGATTTCATGACACTTTTTGCAAGAGTTCTATTTCACCCACTTTCTGGTAGCAGAAAGTTATCGTGAATTGTAATTACATGCCCATTATCTCTTTAATTTGCTAATTGGCCTCAGAGACCTCATTACTGTTAACTGCATAATATTTGTGATCTTTCTTAGCTAGAATAAAAAGTCTTTTCCTTTATATGAAGCCCGTTCTGCCATAATAGTATTCAGCTTTTATTAAACGTAGAGAAGTGATTGTGTTACTTACCTAATTTCACATGATTTTAAACAGATGCATGTTGCAAGGTTTTACATGATTCATCAATAAGCTCCCTTTATAAGACGATACAGGATGAAAAGGTATTCAAGAACATGGCTATATCTGTGTACTCACTAGTAAATAAATGGAGGATGTGTTTTAAGTAATTTGGGGTCTTTTACTGAGCTGGCTAAGTAGAAGACCTATGTGAAGAACTCTGAACAGCCACAATGTTGTATTGTATTAGTCAGCAATGATGGAATGGTATTGTTATTGCTGAGTAGATTTAGTGTGAGAGAAAAAAATAGACTCATCTGCCTCTATAATTTTTCTATCTAAATTAAAAACAATTTCTGGTGGCAGTCATTCATAACGATTAAGCTGGTTGCTATTTTCTTGTCAGGTTGGTGACCAAATTGTTGAAATAAATGGAGAACCCACCCAAGGAATCACTCACACACGAGCCATTGAGCTGATTCAGGCTGGCGGGAATAAAGTTTTGCTGCTGCTGAGACCAGGGACTGGCTTGATACCAGATCACAGTACGTCATCTAAAATATTCCTTTTAAGGGTCCAAGACAATGGAATAGAGTCTAATAAAGACACTTTTATGCTGATTCACTGAAATAGTTAGCAGTTCCCTTTTGGATAGCTATACAAGCTGCTCATATATCTTTTCAGATATAAGGAATGTTTTTGGTAAAAATTAATACATGACAAGTACCTAAGAAAATTACATGAAGTGTGAAATTATTGCATATTTGCAGTTGGAATCAGTTTCTTTGCTCTGTCCAAACTAATCTCCTATATTCTCCTATGCAAATATGATAATTATCACTGTTTGCTTTTTAATTTAATTTAAGATTCTATATGATACAGTGCTCAGCTCAAAATGCTTCTGCAAGTATGTTGTTTCTATACAGATGTAATACCCTGTTTTTAGCCTTCTAAATTCTAGCGTGTTTGGTTTTTGTTTTTTCAAAGCGAAAATTTTTGAAACAAGGGAGAAAGCTTTGCTCACAAAGTATAAGATTTTGTGTGTTTATAGTCATGACTTCTACATTTATGACAGGAAAGCACAACTTTATAAGCAAAAAAAAAAAAAGGGGGGGGAGGGGGAGAAGGAGGGCAGAAAAAAGCAAATGCTTACAAGACCTCTGAGTTCACCTACAAAGCAGAGCACAGAACTAATTATTTTGAGTCTTATTAGGACATGCTCCAAAATTACAAATCAAAGAGTTTTGTGGCTGTGGCAGTATTTTAAAGCAGAGAACGTTCTTTCTTAAAGTAAGCATTTTGATCTTTTAATCCTTGATGCTGACAACAAGATTTTGATGGCAAAGTTCTTAAATTTTAAGGTTGTTTTTTCCAATAAAGAACTCTTCAAAAATAGTAATGACCTATAGATTTACACTTTGAAAATCAAATTCAAAACACACAGTTTGAACTTTCAGGTAGTTTGTCACATTCAGTTGTTTACAGGCAGCAACTGACATCCACCAGGAGATGAAATCTTCTCAGAAGTTTCTCCATTTTTTTTGTCCAGAGAACTAGAAGATACAACTTAACATCATCTAGTTCAAATTGCACAGCACAGTAAAATCAGAATTAGCACATAGCATGGAAACAGTCTATCTGTAAACTACAAAATCTGTTCTATGCCATCTCGCTAGATCCCTAGCTAGCTGACTGTGTGTTTCACACTGAATTACCTGGTCATTAAGGCTGAAGGATAGAGTTCCCTTTGTGTTCTGATGAGTTTCTGTTGAAGTTCTCAGAGAGGTTGTTGTCACTTCAAAATTAGCATATACAAGCTGGAACAGAAGGAGCTGGTGTGTGCGCAGCTCCAATTTTCTCCTTACTAACAGCTATTTAAGGTCAGCATAATTTCAGCTGTGATAAATAGTGTTTAACATTCACCAAGAAGTGCAATAGTTATCTGGAATCACTCCTGGCATGTCTTGTTCACTGAAATCTCCTGAACCCAAGACAGAAAAACAGAATCATAGAAAAGTCAGATGGGACCTCTAGAGATCATCTGGTCCAGCCTTCTGTCAAAAGCAAGGTCTTAGATTAGGTTAAGCAACTTAGATTAGATCAGCAGCTGGGGAGAAGGGGAAGGGCTGTGTTGCCTCTTGTCTTGGTGTTAATTGTACATTTCTAATTGAAATCTTGCTTGCTGTACTCTTGTGATTTTGGTATGTAGTTCTGGGCTTTTTCTCTTCCTCCTTCAGGTTTGGCTCCTTCCAGTCTGTGTCCCTACGTGAAACCTGAGCAACATTAAGGGCTTTCAGTGCTTTTCTTGGTTTTTCCTTAAAGACTTGGTAAATCTGCATGTCTTGTGATTCATCTCTTTCTATTAAAGTGCAAAGCTATCAATAACCTCAGCTTTTCATTGTTTCAGTTTTCTTTAGCATAAAGCATAACAATGTGGGGTCAGGGAAATTTTTATTTTGCAGTTGTGCTATGTAGGCTCTAAAGTTATGCTGATGCAAGACCCGTCAGTCCTGCAGAGATCATGCCAGCATTCTAAGCACAAATTTTTTTCCAAAAAAATCACATCCTTATGATTGTAGCATTGTAGAACAATGCAGTACAGAAAACTGGTTAAGCAGACTTTGAGAATACGTCACTATGTAATCTTTTTGAAGTTGAAAATTTCACATAACAGCCTGGAACCTCAGTAGTAAACACATTTTAAAAATATTTAAGCTGATTTTTCTGTAATGACTTAGTCAAATCTCTCCCTGTTCACTTCCAGGTGATTGGGATAGTTATAATCCGTCTTCGTCAAATGTAATATATGAAGAACAGTCACCGGTATCTTCATCTTCACATTCTGCTTCCCCATCCGAAGTATGTTATTTACCAATATCAGGAGAAGCTTTAATGAAAGTTCAGCTGTCTGAGAAACTGGAACAAGCAAAGAACACTGTGCCTGAAAAGATAAGCACTTTAACTGAAAACAAGTCTGAGATTAAGCCTATGTCTTCTCCCCAGAGACTGAAGAACAGACATGGTCATCCTTCCAGTCCTGGGTTTGAAATGACAAAAGGTAGTTTGGAATTAGGGACTGGTGGTCTTACCAGAAGAGACACATCTGCAAGTCCAGAAAAGGTAGGGACAGCAGAGGGATACCATCAAACAGGATTCCACAGCCCTAGAATGAGGGATCCTAAAAAAATCCATGGCAACCTCTCACATAAATCTGACAGTTCCAGAAAAGATGAGAATAAACACACAGAAATAGGGATGAACAACAGTAATAAGAGAGAGTATTCCAGAGAAAAACAAGAAAGGTCTGCCAGTCCCCAGAAGTACCTCAGTAAGCTAGGAAACACAGAAATGTTAGCCAAGTTACAAGAATACCAAGACAGACCAACTGGTGGTGACGTTAAGATTGTTGAGCAAGTGAAAGGTGGAAACAGTAAAATAGGAGTCACAAGTAAAGATGCAAAACAAAAAAGTTCTGAAACGAAAGGAGGGTGGGCTCCAGAGAGGAAATACCCAGCATTTGATGAAAATACACTTCCGTTCAGTAAGGCCAGTAACTCTAGGACAAACACATCCAAAGATGTAAAAATAAAGAACTCAAACTCTGGAGAGCCAAGTTCCATCAAATTCAAAACGTCAAGTCTTTCCAATATTCCACTGCTTTCCATGGAGAAACAAAGGCGGCTAGAAATCCAGGAGACTGTTACTCTGAACAGACACCACAGAGACACACACATGGAGCCACCTGCTGAAACCAAAGATGCTGGAATTTCAAAATCTGAGAACAGTTCACCAGTCAAGAAAGCACCAATAACTCCTGGACCTTGGAAGGTACCAAGTGCATGTAAAGTCACCAAAACAGCAAGTATGGCTGAAAAACAGGTTTGACTGACTGACAGACACTTTTTAAAAAAAAAAAAAAAGTTTTAATCAAATTTCTAATGATGGCCCTTTCAAAGCATCATTTCTTTTCATAAAGCTGTCTTTTTTTTTTTTCAGAAACTGATTTGAGGGTGGAAAGTATTTGAGTTAGTCTTAAATTATCTAAGCTGCATGAAGGACCTTTTGGATTGCTTAAATGAAACTCCTCCATAAGCTGCTGTCCCCTTGTCCTTTTGAAGGCGGTGTTCTGCTGCTCTCAACGTTGCACTGCTATGGCTTTCTCAGATAGTATTGTGAGTTTCTGAACAAAATTATTTAATGCCTATATTGCCAATGTGATCATGACTCACTTGTTCTTGTGCCAAGTTATCTACTGTATCCAGCCACTCTAATCCTTTTCATATATATTCCAGTCACAGAAAAGACAAGGTTTTGTTTGAAATGAGTAGTCGCTCAAGAGCGTGTTGCATGTTTACATAAGGAAATACCCATGTTCTTACTGTTGCTGTAAGAAGATGGGTAGATTGGTTCTATCAATTCTAGGCTAGCAAATGAGCCACTAATGCTGGTCCAACAGATGTGGGTTTTGTTTTTGTTTTTTTTTAAAAACCTAATATTAAAAGCATGTAGATTTAAAAAAAAAAAATTATATTTGACATGATGCAACTTTTGCTTTTTTAAGAACACAGCAAAACTGCTTTATTGTTTTGATTCATGAGGATGCTTTAGACAGTTGTTGTTGACAAACAGCTGTTTGAAGAGAGAGAAAAGTCTGGGTTTTTGTTAAATAGCATAATTCCTTTGGCTTCACTTGTGGCAGGCTTTCTTTGTAAGTATATGCAGCAAGCGTGTATTTATTTTCCGCCTCTTTCTGGTGCTGTGTACTGAAATTCTTTGTTCATTATTCAATGTTAATTAAGAACTGGCTTTTTCTTTTTCTTTTTTTTTTTTAAGAATTGGATTTTCTTTTTTTTTTTTTTTTTTCTCCTCTCTAAAGATAATGGTTGGTCTTTAGGACAGACCCAACTACTGTAGTCAGCTTTTGAATGAAGTTCATCTTACCTGTGCATATTAGAAGAAGTCTCCCATATTTTAAGTAAGTGTGTGATCTAAGAGTGCTAAATAGAATGCTAATACGGGGTACATGAGATGTAATATCTATTGTTTGGGCTATAGTACATATTTTTAAAGTAATTTTGAGGACTGTTACCATCAGAATCTACTTACACACCAGTCATATAATTAGCTTTAAGTACAGTGAACTGAAAAAATTGAAGGGATTTATTTTCTTTGAAATTTTAGTGATGACTTCCTGATGTATTAGGTGTTTTTTTTAATGATTGCAAAAAAAAAAAAAAAAAAGTGGTAAAAGAAGCTCTTTGGTGCAGTTTGCAGAAGCAGAAGGAAGTACAGACAGTCAAGCTTTACTTATGTTAAAATCCAAACTAATACAACTTGCTAATTGAAAGTGATTGAGCATCTTGTTTGGCTTTGAAATGTTTAATGGTTTTAAAGTTTAATGAGGCACAGTGGATGAGTTCTGACTTGGACAATTCTTTAGAGGTACAGAAGACTACTCAAGCAGCTTTTTAAACAAACATTTTTGAAAATTAAATAGGCTTTAAGGCAGATCTGAACTGCACTCTGCTGCTTCACAGTGGATGATCCATTGATTTGATGTAGCGTATGTACAAATGCTCCATGTTGTGGAGTATGACTGTGAAAATATTTAATACTTCGAAGTAGCCTATGTAGATATTAACCATGTATTCTTGACAGAAGACTGTTTTTATGTTGTTGCACACCCCTGCCCTACCATTGAGTACAGTAACAAATTCAGAAGTTTAATATAAAGATGAATTAGCACCACTGAAATGATTTCCCTGTCATAAACTACCACTATATTTTTTCTAATTGTTAATGTGACTTGATTTAGTGTCTTACCTGTCTGTGATTCTTCCTTCCAGAGGACTTGTGTCTGTACTTACTGTATCAGATGACTTAGCAATGTGGCCTTGGAATGCTAAGCAATGTATGGATGTACTGGGTGTAAATGTTTATATATTGTACAGCACCTTTATATATACTTCTGAGGTTCTGACTAGAGAAAGACCTGTAAATCGCTCATTATTTTTTATATAGATATTAAAAAGAAACTCCAGTTCATAGTCTGTTGGTTCTGCACTGTATAACATATATTCATTGTTGACTTTCAGTGGTGTGATACCTGCATTTAAACAGCTAACTATATGACCCAGGTTTTACCCATAAACATTAATACTCTTCTGGAAAACAAATGCAATTTATTATTGGAAGTTTCCTTGCCTCCTTGTTCAGATAACAATTGTTCAACAAAGGTATTATAAAAAACATCAAATCATGTAGTATAAATTGTGTATGATGAAATACTTGTACCGTAGGTTTATTTGTACATTTTGATATCCAAAATTGTCACTTCCTTTTACAACTTACAACCTTTCCTTGTGCAGAAAATAATTGTAAACAATTTACTACCAAATCTCCTCTTCTGTCTTACCCCCCTATGTGAAAGAATGAAGCTATAAAAAGGTCCTGTTTTTTCTTTTTTCCCCACTACTAATATACTACAAGATAGCAGTTACCAAAACTGAAGAAAACATGTTTAACATACTAAAACATTTTATCTCCTGTGCCATTTCTAAACAATAATCTACTTTTTAAGGAAGACATTCTTTGTCCTGGCTCTTCCACTTACCTGATCCCCGTGACAGATCTTTTTCTTTGTTATTCCAATGTGAGGCACTATTGCAGTGCAAAGCTGCAACAGCTTTTCACAACGCTGAGTTAAGCTGCTTCTCAGAAGAGGTTATGACAGGATGCCCTTTGTACCTAGCACAAGCTATTAACTGCCCGTTGAATGAAAAACCTAAAAAGCATCATCAGTATAAACATAGCTGAGGAGTTACAGGAATGAAAACAACAATATTCTCTATTTGAGAGATGCATTACTTGTAGTCTGTGTTGTAAGGTTATTTTCATATAACTAGTGTTTTTCAAAAATAATGACCATTTATTTGCAGACCTAACATAAAGCCATTCAGCATGAATCTGTTACACTGCTGCTATGCAGCTGCAAGCTTAGCTGTCAACATGGAGGCAATGTTCATCTCATGCAGAGTGAATTTCACTGCATCCTTCAGTAGCTCAGGATAAAGAGGCAAAGCCTAAAGCACATTGAGCTTTTTAAGTAGAGAAAGATTCTTCAGTCCATTCAGATAAATGCATCAATGTATGATGATGATCTCTCCGAAAAGAGCTCTGAAGACAGCTGCGCAAATTTGAAAAATGTGAGTACAGCACCAGAGCTCTTTGAAAAAGGATGCTACTAACTGAAACAGCAGGACTGACTCTTCACTGGCAGAGGATTCAGATCTTAAAGAAACAAGGCAGCTGTAGCAATCATCTGTTTCCTTCCAGTAAGAACTGTAGCATGCCTTTCAGTGTTTGATGCCCCAAATAATGTGCACATAGTTCCTGCTGTTTTCAGTGCAAGCTATTTTTTTTCCCCCATTTATTTTGTTTTAGTACATGTGCACAACATGGGGGTGACTTTAGTCTAGTTAGACCAGTTTATTCTGTAGGCTGTAGAACAGTAAAGCAGAGGGAAAAAGCTTGGCTACATACATTGAACATCTGTTAAAGAAAGTGTAGTTACAGATTTCCATAATTTGAGCACCTCTGCTTTTTATCTTCTGTTATCTTCTCTGGTCTTGTCGTTCTGTTGGAGAAGGCTGACTGCTGATGTTGGTCAGTTCATGGTTTAATTTTCCATAACTGAAAAGATAGATTGAGAAGGAGTACTGGGCTGAAAGAGGCGCTTTAAAGAAAGTCAGCAGATAAGGAAATCAAATTTATATACAGATGATGATTTTTCTTCGGTTAATTTTAGTTATAGATAAAATGTATAAACACCTATTTTTTTTTAAACTTCTCAGTATTACTAAACTATACAGTTCTGATATGACCAGGCAATTATTTCTTAAAGGACACATATCAAGTTTGTTTTTAAATTACTTCCGTGCTTGTTGAGAGCACTAACTAACTGTTGCAGTAATATGCTGTATCAAATCCACAAAACAACAGTTTAATTCACACTGATGTGAATTAAAGCATTTTTTCCTACCTCTGTACTTCAAAGGGCAACCTACAGACTGCAACTGCTATTCTCATTTAAATAGGATTTTTTTTCTGCCCCTCTTACCCTGTACCTATGCGAGAAACGGGCTAGAAGTCACACTCACCTTTTGAGCAGACAGAAAAATATTGTGTGCAGCATAGAATAGGTTCAATATGAGGAAATGGGGTTTTGGCAGTCTGCAGGGAGCCATAGGTCTGAATGCTTTTCATCTACAGGCCAGACTCTTTCTCCTTTGCCTGTCTTGCATGAACGCTCTGCTCAGTGAGCTCGAGTTTAAAAGGGAGCCACAGCAGGATTGTTTCTTCATTCTAAAGGAAAAGAACTCAGGGTTCTGAGCTCTGGCTTTAAGTGGCTGAACAGGACTGCAATTTAAGACAGGTCAGTCCTTCTCCTTACCCTGGCTACTAGGGATGGAGCTTCATCCATGCCATTTACGGGGAGCCTTATGCAAACCTATGGTGTGTGCGTGTGTGTGTGTGTGTGTTGGGGGGGGTAGACTAGCAATGGTACAAAAGTAACCCCTAGAAGATGCTTCTTAATAGGTTAGATGGCAGCTGTACTTACTCTGATATTGAATCCTAGAAGATCACTTATAACACCTGAGACAGCAGAAAGTATCACCACACGTGTTATGTTGTAGATTAATGGATTCATGGTCAGTCCATACAGCCTAAATGGTGTATCTAATTCCTGCAGTGCATGGGGGGGGGGGGGGGGGGGAAAAAATACATTTCTAAAGTTAGTCCAAACCAGAAGTAACTATTATTCTTTTGGCTTTTAGCTTAATACTGGTCTTCTGGCAGAATTTGCTAATCATGCACTGCATCTATGTCCTGCCTTAAACCTAGATTCTGACGTCTACTTTGTAGAAACACAAGCTGCAGAACATGAGCATTACATAACAGGCTCTATAATTTAACTAGACTATTTTATGTGCCTCATACTATGCTCTTTCTTTTTCAAATACCTACTTGCCACAGTCAACAATGAGCTTCCCCCAAGGAAGCTGCTGAAGGAAAATGAGATTCCCGCAGTAAGGAGGAATGTTACATTCTTAAGAGCCAGTCCACCAACTTACCTAAATTGCAATAGGCTGCTACTAATCAAATGGTCACAGCACCAATTAGCTCATGGGTCTTGTATTGCTAGCTCTTATGCCATGGCTACAGAAACAGAAAAACTCAAACGCCCTTTATGAGCACTTACCTAACCAAGAGGCAATAGAAACAGGAAGAACAGAGACACACGGTGGTAACATTAGTCATTGTTTACATAAAATTGAGCAACTGTATGTTTTTAGGGAGATGAACTTACCTTCAGTAGCTTTGTAGATAGTTTCAAAACATTGTTTACTAGAGACAGCTGTTCTTTCTTGTTTGGCTTCTTCTCCATCTTTAGGTATAAGTTTATCTACAACAGACAGACATTACAGATTAGGTTAACAGTCCAGCATTAGCCCCGCCCCCCCCAACTCATTTCTAACTGAAGGAAATTAGAGCCATTTTTTGCAGTCAACTGTCATTCCTAAATGATACATTTACAGACAGAGGAATTTAATAGTGATACCTCATGCTTTTCCCAAATTATATGGCTATTCTTAACCCAAAGCGAAAAATAATCTAGAATTTTGAGTCTGCTCAACTGTTTAATAGCTTATCCCCTGCTGTACAGTGTTTCCCCTTTATTACTGCACAGCACACGTAACAGCTTCTAAATTTTTAAATTTGATTCCAGTATTATTTAAGTTGGTTTGAACTGCAATAATTATAGCCAAACAAGCCAAGAAGTCAAAGAGAGAATGAGTGAAATGCAGATACCTGCTCAGTGAGCAGGATTGAAATATTACTGTATTTCTTGTTGGTTTCAGAGCCCAAGGATGCCAGGCGCAGTAAAAAGAGAAGAAGTGCTGCCTCCCAGATCAGGAACTCCCAGTTGTAAGCTGCATTCAGAAATGTTTTGTGACCCTTAAGAACCTGGGTTGAAAAAAAAAATGCTAATATCAATAAAGAGTAACATGCCTGTTCTTGGGAGCAAGGCAAAAGCCTTGCCCTTATTCCTCTTGTGAACAGAGGTCTGTGCTCTATAGCTACTGACTGACAATTTTTTCCCTTGAAGTGTAATTCATTCATGGAACTAGGTTAAAGTAAAAGGCCTTGTTTCTAACCTGGTTTTAGCTTGGACTTTGCTTTTCTTTCCCCAATGAATGTGTTAGCTTGAACGCTTGTTCTTTTCCTTTTGTCCCTCTTTCCAATTAACTAATAATAAAATGTCTTTCCTCTCATGTATGCTTCTGCTACTGGTAGTTTAAACCACCATGGCCATTCTAAGCTGATCGTGCCTTTCCTAGGCGTGCATGCATTCATCAGGACTGGGATTGTCAGGACTTCCTTCCTGTGGCTTACAAAAGCGATCACAGCAGTGGGAGCCAGTATCTGCAGTTGTTACCACAACTGCATCTTCATGGCATCAAGAACTTGCCTAAGGACATGAAGGGTCTCTTGCAAAAAAAAAAAAAAAAAAAAAAGCCAGGCTCCAGCATTAAAAATACTTAACAGAAGATTTCCTTACGAATTAAAAGGTGTAATAGCTGTTGCCCTGCTTTTCCATTGTAGGGAACTTGGCTATTTTCCTGCCAGCACCACTGGTGTTAAAGGGGCTGTTGTAATCTACCCTCTTAAATAAAACATCCTGTGACGACTAGAGGCAGCTAAGCAGAGTTCTTTCCTTTGTGCAAAAAAGCCAGAAAGCCCAAATTTACTGTGCACACATATATATATATATATATGGAGAGGGAGAGGGAATGAGCGTCTAGTACCAAAGCTTAAAAAAACAACAAAAAAAACCCAAAAATAAAAAAAACACACAACCATACCCACCATATATTTTGGGGACAAATGGCTACAGTGCAAGCATTTTCTTTGCCTGACAAAAGAAATGCTTCCACGAGCTGTTTATTTTCCTACTTACGTCTTTAAAAGGAAAAAAAAAAATGTTAAAAACTCACCTGGGCGCAGCATATAAAAGCGATTGAAAGTGCCAGTAAAAAGACTGATGATACAACAACATCTACAGATCGCTGGGGGCCTCGCCTCTGCAGAGACCAAGATGCTGAGTTAGGTCTAAGCTTTGGACTTACGGAGCTGCAAAGACAAGGCTCTCCACAAACAGCCATAATTGTTTAAATATTCAACCACTGATGTCCAAAATGCCAGACAGCAATGAGGAAAGTACATGTGCTTAGAGACTTTGTTTATACCCACTGTAATAATTAAATACACCCACTTTAGATCAGAACTCACCTTTAGATAAGAACGAAGGGATAACCAGATCTTAATATTTTCTACCTTCTTGAGTCTGAAGTGAGGAATTTCATATTTCCTGGCTTTCCGAGCTGATGTAATGTGACTAAAAAGTTTGGCAAACAAAAACCTCTGCAAATTTAAAAAAAAAAAACACATATATATATGTGTGTGTGTGTGTGTGTGTGTGTGTGTGTGTGTGTGTGTGTGTGTGTGTGTGTGTGTGTGTGTGTGTGTACACACAAATATATGCACAGAAAAACCATAAATTAGTCTAAAAGAAAAAAAAGGTTGCTTGGGCTACCTTGATGTGGCAGAAAATGTTAGCCTCATGCCACACTGGAAAAGCCTAATTGGGACCTCACTGCATGACCTCTCAAGTAAATAATAGTATTCAGCTTGCGTATAGCAGAGGTAGAATTGCTGTTGCTGTGCAAGCTTAACCACAAAACTCTCACTCAACCAATAAATGGCACCCACCTTCCTAGCATGCAACATCTACAGCCAGTTTGACAAAGCTATTGCCCATAGTCAGAAGGGAGATGTGATGTAACCAACGATCTCATTCTCCATTTTAGAACAGGAAACTGAGTTGTTCGTAGTTTTTTTTTTTTTCCTTCTTCTTCATAAATAGTTCCATTCTGAAGCATTCACTTCCATGCAGCGTACCATTTCAAGCTGTTAAAAAGCTATTTTTCTTTTTTTCTTTTTTTTTGCAGGGAGGTGGGGTCCAGAGGGCAGGAAATGTATTGGCAGCTTTATGTTTGTTGTTGATGACTAGGAGTCTTACTAGACTCGCTTATCTAAACTTCTAACTCATCTTACCAGGTACCCATCAACACTCAGGCTTGCTGAGACATCCTTGTCCTACTGGTGTCTTTTAACGACAGGCAGAATGGTATCAGGAGACCACCTGCTCCAGGGTTCAGGAAAGGCAATGGTACATTTAGACATACCTGTTTGTATGTTCTCTCAGCAACACACATCATGAAGAAAAACATCCAGGTTAAGCAAAGTCGTTCAAGAAAGTTGATAGCAGACAAAACAATGACAGGTGTGCTAGCAGGTGCTCCACAAAAGATGTGCAAAAGCTCCTTTATGGAAATGGAGCACAGCTGTTCCAGGTTATCTGTGTGGAAGAGTCTGTAGAGGAATGGCAGGAACGCTAATCCAATGGTGATGATGTTGCCCAGCATTTGATACCCTACTCCCTGTTGGTAGGCATTAACCTGATAACAGGAACAAAAAAAAAAAAAAACACAACACTAGTACTTGTGCTTTTGTATCAAGAGAAAGGCATGCTGCTGTGGCAGCATTAAATCAAGCAAGCATTCAGCCCCTCTACCACCACCCCCAAACAACATGGCCTAAAATAATTCCACCTGTTCCAGGCAACAAACCATCCCCCTCCCACCCCCCAAAAAAACTCAGCACATTGCAGAGACATACAGCCAACAATAACCAGTGCTCATTAGTCTTTGACAGGACCTGCTAGCTTTCCTAAATTTTGCTTATGTAATTACTAGGTAAGAACATTCAAGCCAACTGCATTTGCTGGGGGAGGGGAAGGTAACTTTATACTGCACTTCATATTTACAGGTATAGCTAATGTCAGTTTTTTTGGTGGGTTTTGTTTAAAGTGTGGGGGGGAGAGGTTGCAGTGCCTTACAGCCCTCTTACCCTGCTCATGATAATCCCACTGATCTCCAGCACAGACATGTCCACCTTCTTACAGTCATTTCCTTCCCAGATCAGTGCACTCACTTTTGCAGATGCTGGACTTGTATTCTGTAGCCAAAACAAATGGTTCTATAAAAGAGAAAAGAACGCAACGGGCATACAATGTATTTCTGCCCCTCTATTAAATCATAATTTGTCTAGTAAGAGTTTAGGTTGAGAAAGAGATTCCAAATTTGTGTTTGGGTGAAATACTTTGTTTCCAGATTAGCAGTGGTACAGATAGTACCTGGACAGAGGGTTGAGGGTTCATTACTGCTGCTCAGATCATTGCAGCCTTCTGTGCGACTCACACAGCTGACAGAACGGGATCATCTCGCAGTAGGTAGCTCATATTATGACAACAGCGTTCAGACCAGTCTTTCATATTATTTGGGTGGGTACAATATTATGCTGGGGGGAGGAGAGGTGGAAATTAAACAAACAAACAAAAAAAAATCTTTCATAGCTTTCTCAGCTACTGCAAATCAACAAACCTGCTGAAAAACATCTTCCTTCAAGTCCCGCCTGGCCCCTCTCACAGTCACTTCCTCACTGTCGCTGGTGCAGGACGAGCGGCACTCTGGCCCGTGAAGCAGATCGTCCCAAAGCATGTCTTCTGTCTCAGAGTCATGGCGGGTACTTTCGGAGTCTCGCCGGGTCACACTACAGCTGCGGGATCCTGTACTAACACAGGACCTTGAGTCCTTGGAAGACAAGAAAACATTTACACAGAAAAGTCCCATATCCCCAAACAGCAGCTAAGTCAGCTTTCAGCTCACAGTCAGACCCACCTGAGCCAAACTGATGTGCAACTTGTTAAAAGCAGTATTACACAGTGGCAGTTTTTTTTAACTGGCAGTTCCACACAGGAAGACACACAGAAATAGCAGTTTCCCCATCCCCATTCCCAACTTTAAAAACTAAAAATTGACTTATTAATTCTGGCTTTTACATAAACTCTTTTAAGATTTTATTTATATTTTATTTTTATATTTATATAAGCATTTATATTTATGTATTTTATTTGCATTTGTTTATACTTTGGGGGGGTGGGAGTGGCATGGGAGGAGGGAATATAGGAAGGGATAAAGTGAAAGCATTTAATGAGTATGTATCACAGAACAGAAGATTTAGATTTATTTCTTCATTTCAAAAAGAAAATGTTAGCATAAAAGCTACTGTACAGTGCTGCTTCACAAACCACAGGTCTTCAACTTAAGCAACTATAGGCAACTTGGATCATGTTGCTGCTGCCAGCAGAGTGATTTTTTTTGGTTAAACAAAATAGTAGCTTCACAATTGTGAACACAGTTCACAAAGCAGGAAACAGGCAGAGAGAGAGAGGCCACACCTCCTGGCTAAAGATGCTCAAGCGCTGTCATTTACACTGCGCAGGCTCAGTGAACCTACGTCTCCTGCATTTATGACCATACCTGGCTATATAACGTGGATTCTAGTTCAGATTCCACGACACTGTCAGAATCTCTTGCACCTTTAAGAGCCTGCTTGACCTGCCAAAAACAAACAAAAACCAGCTCACTATCCATAGCATAAAATTGCGTGGGAAATTACATTAATTCAATATGATTACCTGTGAGACAGCCTGGTTCAGGGAAACAAGGGGCCTCTTTTTCTTATCTTCGTAGCTATTGTCACTGGAGGCCCCTTCTACGCTCTGGCGTAACAAGCTCCTTTGTGCCATTGCTTCAGCATCTTCCTCACTTGAAAGCTCATCAGAAATACCACCTATGTTGGTGCACTCATCCTAGAAAAACAGCAGCCAAAATAAGACTAAAAAAGTCACTGAGAAAAGACCAAGTTGCACTGCCTCGAAGCAGAGGTTCCAAGCCAGCACTGCTAGTGTACCTGTACACACAACAACTTCTAATTACCTGCAGGAGCCAGTGGAAGATACTCTCCACAGAACACAGAAACAGGAGCCAATTTAGCGTCACAGAGTTTTCACAAATTACAGCTCTCTGCCCCTGCACTTGCCTTGCTGCAGCAGCGATGGAGTTGGATTTAAGGGGAAGGGGGCGGTAAAGGGTCAGATGGGGGTGGGGGAGCAGCTCTTGGGGCTATGTCTTACCAGCAACTTCAAGCCCAAAAGAACAGCCATCTCTACAAGTTGTTGCCCAGCAGACCCCGAATTATGGGATGTGTCTCCCTATACCTTCCCTCCGCTTCTTTCCAAATGCCTAGAAACAGACAAGTTGGGAGGGTAGGGCAGTATGCTGTTCAGCACAGATCCTCATCTAAGTTTTTCATATGGGAGGTGACACCTTTGACTCAAGAGGAGCCTAAAAACAACTCCACAAAGCTTTACATTTCAAAGCTTTCACAGAAGTCATGATGCTTTAACTCAGTCCTCCTCTCTCCCCAAGGAGATGTTTCAGTCTTTATCTTCCTGCCTAATCCTAGAAAGATAATAAGGGGAACTGCCTGCAAGGCAAATATTTTGCATAAATGCTTTTGAGCATTTGCTTATTTATTTGTAATCGTTACCAGCAGTTTTCCTTAACTGAACAGCTTGTGACCTGAAGTCTCTACAACTAAACAAGCACTTTGCTATAACAGCTATTTCCCAGGATTGTCCGTGTTTAACATACTTGACAGCAGTAACACACACATGAAAAAGTGTTGACAGTAAAGTATTTGCACCACGTCAACCATTCAACTCAAGAGTAGAAAGGGTTTTTAGGTTTCCTATATGTAAACAAAGATATGTAGAGAAAGAGAGTATCTTCTCTATATGTATTAGGTCAATCCATATAGTCCAGTGTCAACAAACTTTTGGGCACGTATAGACTGTATTGAAATTTGTCATTTGAAACGGATCTTTCCCGCCAGTACCTGATGACTCTTTTCCCCATCGGAAAGTTTATTTTTCTCTTTGAAGGGCAATGGCCTGTATTCAGATCTGGCATGTCTGTGTTTAATGCCATTATTCACAGCACTCACACCGTTTTCTGTCTCAGTCCCTTTCTCAGCTACCAGCTTTACTCTTCTGATTCTGTGAGAGAAAATACAATTAGATGCTTTTATGTCAGAGAAAAGCTCTGAAGATAACAGCAGGGTCTCTTTCACTTGCCATGCAGGTCCCACACTAAACAATAACTAAGGGACTACAGAATTGTATTTTGCTGTCAGACACTTTGTGGCCCTTTTTACTGAAGGGACTTCAGTCTGCTTCACCCTTACCAGTTGGTTCCTGTTGTAAATCTGCTAGTGCCTTAAAACTTCTAAATCCAGAGGGAAATATTTTCTTATTGTAATTTTGAAAAACTAATAAAGAGCAACTTAAGAAGACAAGAAGTTTGCATCAAGAGAAAGGACCTGTCAGTTGAAAATTCAAGAAACTCACCTGAGAAAACAGTAGAAGACAATGAAATAATATCCCAAACTATGTATCCTCCTTTTCCCTGAATTACTTTTAGAAAAAGGAAGAAGGAAAAGTGAGATGACTGTCCAGGCAACTTATACTAGAAGGCACAATTGCTCTGAAATTAGGCAAAATAATAATATAATTTAAGCATATATATTCAGAAAAGGTCACTTACCCGATAAATAAAAATATGTTTTGCCACTTTCTGCAACCCATCTAACACAATTACAGCTAGAGCATGAGATTTGGTCCAATCTCCTAATAAGAACAGACTCGAGAGCCATGAGGAAACAGTCTCCTACAATAGTAACAGTGCTTTTAGTTTGAAAGAAACTAACTGGCAGACTTTTGGGACATTAGTGACAGTACACATTTTGTCTGCATTTTCGAGATACTGAATTGTTCGCACAATGTCATTACAAACACTCACAAATGGATGCAGATTCTGATTGCTCTTCTTTACTGGCTTTGTCAGGAGAAGACCAACTGTTCCCATCAACACCCACAGATTTGCGTAATTTCCTGATTTTTTTAAAAAAGGGAGAATTAAGTTTGAATGGCAAGTTACTTTTAGGTAAAAATCTGAATCAGAGTTGAACAGCCTGTAGATGCTATTTTAAATAATTCATGCAACACAGAAGGCTCATTTCCATATATAATAAAGTAAATTTTACTAGGAGCAACAGAAATTATGTATATACCCACAGGACATCAGCATCACTAATAAATGAATTGAAAAGGATACAACAGACAAAATCTGGACACAATCTTTAGTGTAGAAATCTAACGGAGGCAAAAACATATCCACATTCATCATCCTGTGTTCAGATGCATTATCAGCATCTGCACTGAGTCAGACATCTGGAAGTTAAATATCTAATAGATGAATTGTAACATCTCCCATATACACAAAAGAGTGCCAGCAATGAATCTACCACAGTCATTTCTGCCGTCATTTGCCTCTTATCAACACGCATCAGCAATTCCCTGCAGTTAAGGCCAAAGCAGAACAAAGCAAAGCCTTGAGGATGCCTTACAAGCAGAATGCCTTCCTGGGGCCACAAAAACAACCCGGATTAAAAAGCTACTTTAGAAAGAGAAAGGCCCAGGTGCAAACTAAAGTAGACTTATCATAGTCTGTAACCAGTAAATTTGCAGCATCTGTCCAAGCTGTGAAAAGATTACAAGTCAGACAGAAAATACTCATTTTCACAATTATAGTTAAATAATGTATTGACATAAAAATAGAAGAGAATGTTTATCCATTAACTTCAGCTATGAGCAATCTACCATAGGCTTTGATCCCAAAAAATGAACTGGGTAGCACTCTCACCTCCGTCGCCTGCTGAGTCCATTGGTCCCTGAGGGTTTGTTTATCTGGGTGGACACTATCTGACAGTGAACAGTCCCCATCAGTAACATAAGGCACATTGGTCCCATGACTTCACTCGCACTCACAACAGGCATCATGAAATACAACACAACTGCTACCACTGAAAAGCAGAAAATTGTATCAAATGCAAAAATGAAATTGGGAGCTCTCAGACTTTTTACTTGTCTTCACTTCATTTTTATTGTGTTTTATCCTTTCTGCAAAACGTTAGTGCCATATATCTTGTTAGGCATTATTTTATGGAAATTGCTTATTCTGCAGAGCGGTCTATAAATCTATCAAAATATAGGATTCAAAAGCACAAAGAATGAAATTATAAATATATATAAAAGGAATTTCACTTCTTTAAATTGTGTTCTCTGAAAGAGCAACTCAATCTTCAGCAGACAAAGTTCCCGATCAGTTCAGAGAAAGCCAATGACAGAACTCGGTTGATACAAGAGAGTCCTGAGCTTTAAGTCTTCACACTGCCATAGAAATGTTCCTCTGCACTGGGATAGAAAATATCCTGCCTGAATAGCTTCTCTTACACACTGGTGAGGTATAAAATTTGTCCACAGAATAAATACAGGACTGAGAGACAAAGAAAGTTGAAAGAACACCTCAAAGGAGAGACAGGGGTCTAGTCACAACATAAGGTAAATCAGATACATAAAGCTACTGGAACTACAGGGAAACATTCTGCAGTGATTTCATTGGTAAAAATGTTAAATGTCCAAAAGGATAGCAAGAGCCTGCCTAAAACTACAGACTTTTAGGAAAAAAAAAAAAAAAAGAATTTTCCAATCAGATCTGTGCAACACCAATCAAAGACTTCCCACCTAACTGTTTCTACATCACATCGATATCTGGAACCTGAGCCAGGCCACTGCAGCTCGGCTAGAGCTGTAAGTATAAACAAGCTGTCTGAAGGGTGGCGCCTGTGAAAAACTCAGTACAACAAAAGGAAAATTCAAAACTCTTCTTACCCAGATGATTACCTTCTCTCCCAGTGTCTTACATGCATTAATGAAATACCATCATAACTTCACATAAAGATGGGACCCCCGAAGCACACAGAAAAGAGCAGCTGTGAATTAAACGCAGCTCAAGCTGTGGTCCAAAGCCCCATCAACAAGACACAGCAGAGCAAACACAGCACAAGAAGTAACGCAATCACCTTAAAAATACGCGAATGCAGACCCTGAACACACACAAGAGACAAAGTTGTGCATGCCTGCAGGTAGTGCTCATTTCAGATAGGATCCTTATCGCATTACAGAATACCACAGAAGAATATCACGTTTCTTACGAAAGAAAGATTATAGCACAGACTGCTCCCACTCCTTACCTTGCATAAGGTAGAGCACCAGGAGCCACATAAAAATACGCTGGGAAGTAACCTGTATCCACCACTGGCTGAATAATGGAAAAAATACGACTCTCACAATTCCTTTCCGAGTTAGTGATGTCCACGGGATTTCAGGCTTGGCTTTGGCAAATGTGGAGCCTTGGAATTAAAAGAAAACACATAAGTCTTTATTTGTGAATTATAAGAATTTTCTCACTTATGACTTCTCCTTTAGCCAAGGCCAAACTCTACCAGAACACGTTATGAATTCAACAGGGGAACAATTGCCCAACCTCAGCCTAATGCGTTCAGGTGTGTTCAAGAGGAGCCCCTCATTTTGTCTCAGCAAACTTGCCACTGAGCCTTCCCCCTGCCTAAGTCTATTCCCATCAAGCCTTTAACTCTGCTTTTGCTGAATCACTTCTCATCCAAAAAGGCACCGAGGACGGCTCTGAAATTCCTCCTCTCCCTGCGTACAGGTTTCCGGTCCTCGTCTCGCACCAACACTAGAAGCACGGGCATCTTACCAGCCTGGGGCTGAGCAGGTCTGCAGGAGACCTCAAACGAGACCTGGCACCGCGGCTGCCGGAGGGCCGAGCGTTTCAGCCTCGGCGTTCCCGCTGCGCTAACGTTTCAAGGGAAAACACCTGCCAGGAGCAAGAGGGCCGGGTGAAGCGGCGATGCCCCTCAGGGCTGCGGCGGCGCCTCGCTCTCGGGTACTCACCTCTGATTAAATCAACATCGATCAGGTCGGGCTGAATGTGACCTTTCTTTTTAGGCTTGTTTTTGAGGCCCTACAAAGCCGAAAACAAAGGCCTGTTAGCCGCCGGAGGGCGAGGGGCCGCGGGGCCGCC